ACAGGACTAAGATTGAATCGTACTACACCGGCTCTGACGCTCGTCGGATGTGGCAGGGCTTGAAAACTATTACAGACTACAAAGGGAAGCACAGCCGCGAGCTGCCCAGTGACACAAGACTTCCAGACGAGCTAAACCACTTCTATGCTCGCTTCGAGGCAAGCAACACTGAAGCATGCATGAGAGTACCAGCTGTTCCGGATGACTATGTGATCACGCTCTCCGTAGCCGATGTGAGTAAGACTTTTAAGCAGGTCAACATTCACAAGGCCGCAGGGCCAGATGGATTACCAGGACGTGTACTCCGAGCATGTGCTGACCAACTGGCAAGTGTCTTTACTGACATTTTCAACATGTCCCTGACTGAGTCTGTAATACCAACATGTTTCAAGCAGGCCACCATAGTCCCCGTGCCCAAGGACACTAAGATAACCTGCCTAAATGACTACCGACCCGTAGCACTGACGTCTGTAGCCATGAAGTGCTTTGAAAGGCTGGTCATGGCTCACATCATCACCATTATCCCAGAAACCCTAGAACCACTCCAATTTGCATACCGCCCCAACAGATCCACAGATGATGCAATCTCTATTGCACTCCACACTGCCCTTTCCCACCTGGACAAGAGGAACACCTACGTGAGAATGCTATTCATTGACTACAGCTCAGCATTCAACACCATAGTGGCCTCAAAGCTCATCACTAAGCTAAGGATCCTGGGACTAAACATCTCCCTCTGCAACTGGATCCTGGACTTCCTGACGGGCCGCCGCCAGGTGGTAAGGGTAGGTAACAACACATCTGCCACACTGATCCTCAACACTGGGCCCCTCAGGGGTGCGTGCTCAGTCCCCTCCTGTACTCCCTTTTCACCCATGACTGCATGGCCAGGCACGACTCCAACACCATCATTAAGTTTGCCGACGACACAACAGTGGTAGGCCTGATCACCGACAACGATGAGACAGCCTATAGGGAGCAGGTCAGAGACCTGGCCGTGTGGTGCCAGGATAACAACCTCTCCCTCAATGTGACCAAGACAAAGGAGATGATTGTGGACTACAGGGAAAAAAAGAGGACTGAGCACGCCCCCATTCTCATCGACGGGGCTGTAGTGGAACAGAACTTGAGAGCTTCAAGTTCCTTGGTGTCCACATCACCAACGAACTATCACGGTCCAAACACACCAAGACAGTCGTGAAGAGGGCACGACAAAGCCTATTCCCCCTCAGGAGACTGAAAAGATTTGGCATGGGTCCTCAGATCCTCAAAAAATTCTACAGCTGCACCATCGAGAGCATCCTGACTGGTTGCATCACCGCCTGGTATGGCAACTGCTTGGCCTCCGACCGCAAGGCACTACAGAGGGTAGTGCGTACGGCCCAGTACATCACTGGGGCCAAGCTTCCTGCCATCCAGGACCTCTATACCAGGCGGTGTCAGAGGAAGGCCCTCAAAATTGTCAAAGACTCCAGCCACCCTAGTCATAGACTGTTCTCTCTGCTACCGCACGGCAAGCGGTACCGGAGTGCCAAGTCTAGGTCCAAAAGACTTCTCAACAGCTTCTACCCCCAAGCCATAAGACTCCTGAACAGCTAATCAAATGGCTACCCAGACTATTTGCACTGCCCCCCTACCCCCACCCCCACCCCATCTTTTTACACTTCTGCTACTCTGTTAATTATTTATGCATAGTCACTTTAACTCTACCCACATGTACATATTACTTCAACTACCTCAACTAGCCGGTGCCCCCGCACATTGACTCTGCACCGGTACCCCCCTGTATATATAGCCTCCCTACTGTTATTTTATTTTACTTCTGCTCTTTTTTTCTCAACACTTTTTTGTTGTTGTTTTATTTTACTTTTTTATAAAAAATAAATGCACTGTTGGTTAAGGGCTGTAAGTAAGCATTTCACTGTAATGTCTGCACCTGTTGTATTCAGCACATGTGGCCAATACAATTTGATTTGATTTGATTTGAAGCTCTCAACCTGTTCCACTACAGCCCCATCGATGAGAATGGGGGCGTGCTCAGTCCTCTTTTTTTTCCTGTAGTCCACAATCAGCTCCTTTGTATTGATCACGTTGAGGGAGAGGTTGTTATCCTGGCACCACACGGCCAGGTCTCTGACCTATAGGCTGTCTCATCGTTGTCGGTGATCAGGCCTACCACTGTTGTGTTGTCTGCAAACTTAATGATGGTGTTGTAGTCGTGCATAGCCATGCAGTCATGGGTGAACTGGGAGTACAGGAGGGGACTGAGCATGCACCCCTGAGGGGCCCCCATGTCGAGGATCAGCATGGCAGATGTGTTGTTGGCTACCCTTACCACCTGGGGGCGGCCCGTCAGGAAGTCCAGGATCCAGTTGCGGAGGGAGTTGTTTAGTCCCAGGGTCCTTAGCTTAGTGATGAGCTTTGAGGCCAATATGGTGTTGAACGCTGAGCTGTAGTCAATGAATAGCATTCTCACGTAGGTGTTCTTCTTGTCCAGGTGGGAAAGGGCAGTGTGGAGTGCAATAGAGATTGCATCATCTGTGGATTTGTTGGGGCGGAATGCAAATTGGAGTGGGTCTAGGGTTTCTGGGATAATGGTGTTGATGTGAGCCATGACCAGCCTTTCAATGCACTTCATGGCTACAGACATGAGTGCTACGGGTCGGTAGTCATTTAGGCAGGTTATCTTAGTGTTCTTGGGCACAGGTACTATGGTGGTCTGCTTGAAACATGTTGGTATTACAGTCTCAGTCAGAGACATGTTGAAAATGTCAGTAAAGACACTTGCCAGTTGGTCAGCGAATGCTCGGAGTACACGTCCTGGTAATCCATCTGGCCCTGCGGCCTTGTGAATGTTGACCTGCTTAAAAGTCTTACTCACATCGGCTACGGAGAGCGTGATCACATAGTCATCCGGAACAGCTGATGCTCTCATGCATGCTTCAGGGTTGCTTACCTCGAAGCGAGCATAGAAGTGATTTAGCTCGTCTGGTAGGCTTGTGTCACTGGGCAGCTCGCGGCTGTGCTTCCCTTTGTAGTCTGTAATAGTTTTCAAGCCCTGCCACATCCGACGAGTGTCGGAGTCGGTGTAATACAATTCAATCTTAGTCCTGTATTGATATATTGCCTGTTTGATGGTTCGTCAGAGGTCATAGCGGGATTTGTTATAAGCATCCGGTTAGAGTCCCGCTCCTTGAAAGCGGCAGCTCTACCCTTTAGCTCAGTGCGGATGTTGCCTGTATTCCATGGCTTCTGGTTGGGGTATGTACGTACGGTCACTGTGGGGATGATGTCATCAATGCACTTATTGATGAAGCCAGTGACTGATGTGGTGTACTCCTCAATGCTATCTGAAGAATCCCGGAACATATTCCAGTCTGTGCTAGCAAAACAGTCCTGTAGCTTAGCATCTGCGTCATCTGACCACTTTCTTATTTCAGTCGCTGGTGCTTCCTGCTTTAGTTTTTGCTTATAAGCAGGAATCAGGAGGATAGAGTTATGGTCAGATTTGCCAAATGGAGGGCGAGGGAGAGCTTTGTATGCGTCTCTGTGTGTGGAGTAAAGGTGATCTAGAGTTTTTTTTCCTCTGGTTGCACATTTAATATGCTGGTAGAAATGAGGTAGAATGGATTTAAGTTTCCCAGCTTAAAGTCCCCGGCCACTAGGAGCGCTGCCTCTGGATGAGCGTTTTCCTGTTTACTTATGGCCTTATATAGCTCATTGAGTGCAATCTTAGTACCAGCATCGGTTTGTGGTGGTAGATAGACAGCAACGAAAAATATAGATGAAAAGTATCTTGGTAAATAGTGTGGTCTACAGCTTATCATGAGATACTCTACCTCAGGTGAGCAAAACCTAGAGACTTCCTTAGTATTAGATTTTATGCACCAGCTTTTGTTTACAAATATACACAGACCGCCACCCCTTGTCTTACAGGAGTCAGCCGTTCTATCCTGCCGATTTTCGTAATCCCGCCAGCTGATGTTGTCCCTTCGTCGTTCGCCACGACTCGGTGAAACAAAAGATATTACAGTTTTTAAAAGTGCGGGCCAGAATTGGCACCAGGACGTGTACTCCGAGCATGTGCTGACCAACTGGCAAGTGTCTTCACTGACATTTCAACATGTCCCTGACTGAGTCTGTAATACCAACATGTTTCAAGCAGGCCACCATAGTCCCCGTGCCCAAGGACACTAAGATCACCTGCCTAAATGACTACCGACCCGTAGCACTGACGTCTGTAGCCATGAAGTGCTTTGAAAGGCTGGTCATGGCTCACATCATCACCATTATCCCAGAAACCCTAGAACCACTCCAATTTGCATACCGCCCCAACAGATCCACAGATGATGCAATCTCTATTGCACTCCACACTGCCCTTTCCCACCTGGACAAGAGGAACACCTACGTGAGAATGCTATTCATTGACTACAGCTCAGCATTCAACACCATAGTGGCCTCAAAGCTCATCACTAAGCTAAGGATCCTGGGACTAAACATCTCCCTCTGCAACTGGATCCTGGACTTCCTGACGGGCCGCCGCCAGGTGGTAAGGGTAGGTAACAACACATCTGCCACACTGATCCTCAACACGGGGCCCCTCAGGGGTGCGTGCTCAGTCCCCTCCTGTACTCCCTTTTCACCCATGACTGCATGGCCAGGCACGACTCCAACACCATCATTAAGTTTAAACACAGGGGGAGAGACTAAAAGAAACAAAGGTTTTTCTGGTAAATTTTTGGGGGAAGCCTGGCTTCCCTTGGCAGCCATGAATGCACACCAATGAGGGGGAGGGGGTCAAACACAGACACATAATACTACAATCCAAATAATTCCATGGACATAAACAGGTGACAGTAGTTGACAATGAACTGCAATCACTAGTTTGAATTGAATTGCATCGACACACTGTAAAATAAACCTTGTTAAGGATTTGGCTTGTGGCTTGTTCCACCATGTCTAATTATAAGACCGTTCTTCTGTCTTCTGTGTCTCTGTAGAAATATCGTCAGTGCATGGCTGGACTGCTTGCCCCACCCTATGGAGTTATGGAAAGTGGTGGACGCAGCACTGACAGTGAGTACAAGAACTACAGTGACATCAGTAATGTTCACCTACAGTAAAATGCTCCTTACTGGCCTACCTCTTGCCTTTACTATGAAATAAGCGATATCACAGTTTGAAAGTCTAAGAATAGTCAGGTATCTCCCCTCAGATAAGGTTTTGAAGTGAAATGACTAATGATGTTTTTCCTGAAGGGTAAAAACACACACACTCTTCTTACTGTACAAATCTCCCTTGGGGACTGTCCAATGATATTATGTAACACACTCAAGGAGATTCTAGTCGACACATACTGTATCTACATTCAACATAGCATCGCGATTATGTATTTATCTGTCTAAGTATATTTGTGAACATGCACCAATTGTTGCATAGAAACAAGTGCTAGTCATGTCTGAAAATAAATACTAATCTATGGGATTTATTTTGTGTTGCTTTGGCTTTAAACTCAGACTTAATGTTTTAGGAATGAAAACAAGTGGCATTTTTCTATTTTCTTACTCAGGAATGCCTGACAAAGAGAACATAAGCAACAACTCTTTTGGATCCATCTCTAAACATCTGAATAAGGTACAGTAGTGTATCCTGAACACAAAACGGAGACTTCATCATTAAATATCATAATGATTTACTTTCACCATCAAACATTGTCCACTATCATCATCCAAAAAGCACGGTATGACTGTGGCAGTAACCATGAAATCTTGGCAGCCCAGAGACAAAATCTAGCGTAAACGTCTGTGTACGAGAGATTAGTAACCACTTTATGTGAAGTGAATATCATCCAGATTGAACACTGTTGTGAATGGCAGAGTGACAGTTGGTGGTAAAGTGATGGGTATTTACTCATATGTACTTGCTGCTTACATGGATCCTGATCTAACAACATCCTCTGTAGTTGCCAGAAGCTCTAAATAAGTCTGGAATGTGGAGTTTGTTTAAAGTTTGACTAAATATAAACAAGGCTGCTTCTAAGACCTGGCTTCCGTTGGTGTGCATCATGTCCTTAGTAGTTCCCGTTCCACCTTAACCCTGTGGTGACTTCCTTACCTCCATTCATATAACATGGTGCTACTCTGGAGGGGGTTTCACTATTTATTGCCGCTTGGACTTTGTTCTTTTCAGACCAGCCAAAACATGTGCACTATAAATAACTACAAGGACAGTATAAATTAGGTTTTTTATTTTTGTATTTTTTTGCAAACCCTCCTGCGGTTGTATTGTTGGTAAATATTTGCCTAACTCGAAGGCTCTACATATTTCAGTCACAGAAAAAAAACATATGCAGTGATAATCTTTTTGTTATGTAATTCATACCTTCAGTTAAAGGTGAGTGCACCCATCTATATGAATATTAGACCAGTGAACCCTAACCCTATAGACACAGAATGCATAAATTCCCACAGTAATACATTAATTATGGGAATCCACAGTCCTCACTGACATGTACGTTAAGTGCACATGCTGTAGCCTATATATTCTTAATGAGTCCAAATTATCACTGATGCATGTAGAAAGCTCTTGAAATGTCACCTACAGTATGTGACTATAGTATGCCCACTTCGAACTACATCCTTGTGTTCATCCTCTCATGTCATTTTATGACCATCATAAGATGTTAAAGTGGGTCAACTGTGCTGTGGTGTTAGTGCATTTCACCCTCATCATTGATGATGAATTTATATAGTGGTTAAGCATCTATGTAACTATTGGTCATGGCTGTGAGAGTGATGATGTTAGAAAAGAGGTTATGTAGAGTTTGAACAGCAGTCATTATGTCCACTCTGTAGTGCATGGTGTGCTGCTTTAGTGCATAGTCTCTCTTGATGTTTTTACCTTATGAATACCACATCCATCCACGACTAGTTCAAGGTGGTTTCTGTGCTGTGGGTCCAAGGGTTTGGGATGTAAGCACTGACATCTGCTAATGAATCTAGTAAATAAATGCCCATTTAATGGGGCCATGTTGATAGTGGAGGTTGTTAGTGGTAAAGACTACCTCTACAAAAATGCCTAATCTCTGTCATCATTGAAAAACATAGGGAGGGAACTGTGACCATTCACTACAGTCTGTATCATGTCATACTATCACTCATTTCCATATCATCCCTGTCCTTTATTTTGTGCTTTTATTTTGGAATCCATGATGTTTCCTTGTGTGTGTTTTTTCAGTCATTGTCATGTCATTTGATTTTTCAGAATTCATTAATTGAAAGCCCAGCCAAACTCCATCCTAAATCCATTTCTCAGATAGTAAAGACCATCACATCAGTAAAGGCCAACTCCTCTGTTTCTATTGTAAAGCCCTGCCTCTACTCCATCCTTCTATTCTCTCCCAACAGGTCCCATCTGAGAAAATCCTGCGAGCGGGGAAGGTTCTCCGTGATGCTATCCTCTCCAGAGCTCCCCACATGATCCGAGACAGGAAGTACCACCTGAAGACATACAAGTGGGTTGTAGTATCTCATGTACCATGTACACCTGCTACTCTCATGTCACAGAATGTGTACATCTGTGTGTGCGCGTGTATTGTTAATGTCTGTTTTTTGCTGTATGTATTTCCTGATGTGATGTGTGTATCTCCTGCAGGCAATGCTGTGTGGGAACAGAGCTGGTTGACTGGCAGATGCAGCAGAGCTCCTCTGTTTACTCTCGCATTCAAGCAGTGGGCATGTGGCAGGTGCTGCTGGAGGAAGGTGTTCTCAACCACGGTGAGCCACAAAAGTACAATAGACCGTAGCTAAGGATACCCTCTGTGTGTGTGGGCCATTCCACGAAAAGAGTGCCTTTTGCATCCCTTTAATATTTTAAGTAGAAATTGTGCACCAATATTGCATTTTAAAAGCCTGTTATATTAAATGAAGTGCCCGTTAATATAGACCACATGGAGAATTCAATAAATCAGATTCTTTTATATGAATAAAGGCTTGCTAAAGTGCTAAAATTCAGCATTTTGACGTGCCCCTCAGTCAACCCTGTCACTTCTAGGAAGATTTTAACCCACATTTCTCCAAGTTTCACCATCATTGTTAAGCCCTAGTTATTTTGATGCTTTGTCAAAGTCTTCTCTGAAGATGATAATTTATATAATGTGATTAGTGATTAATTTATGTCAAATGTCAACAATTACAAATTTGCATTCAATTGCCACTCCCTGTTGCACACAACAAGCTTGCATTCCCTCTGTCTCAAGGGTATTTATGGCTGAAATCTGTTTATGGTCAACCCTGTTACTTTATTTGGCACTTAATAGGCTCTTACTATAGTAATTTGAGATGGGGAAAACATGTTTTTTATGAAGTTGACAGAATGTTAAAATTAGGTGAAAACAACCTTTTTATTTTCACCAAGTTACACTTCTCAAAAGGCACCGAATTGGTGGAATGACCCGTGTGTGTGTGTGTTTGTGTGTGTGTACCTGTGTATGCATGCATGTAAAATATGCTGTGTTGGGATTGTGCTGCAGTGGACCAGGAGCTGACCTTCCAGGACAAGTATATTTTCTACCGTTTCCTGGTTGATGAGCAGGAAGACGCTCCCCTGCCCACTGAGGAGGAGACCAGGGAGAGTGATGAGGAGCTGCAGGATACCCTCCTCCTCCTCTCTCAGGTCGGCCCTGATGCCCACATGCGCATGATCCTGAGGAAACCGTAAGGACCAATCATAGAGATTGCCACCTGCTGGTATGATAGATATACAGTATCTGCAGGTTTGGCAGTTTGGGTTAGGAAAGATATATGTATGTATATATGTATATATGTGTGTAAGCTAAGTGCAAAGCTGATGCTAGCAAAGCTGATGCTAGCAAAGCTGATGCTAAAGTCCTGTTCAAAGTGAATCAATTAGATTGTAATCAAGGTCAAATAATTGTTTAATTGGTGCATATTTCCCCTTCCCCAGTCCAGGACAGAGGACAGCGGATGATTTGGAGATCATTTATGAGGAGCTGCTCCATATAAAGGCCTTATCGCACCTATCCACCACTGTGAGTGCAGATTCGGTTACAATAATAACCCATTGTAGGCCTATATTAGATGTCGGCAACAGTCGTCCCGCGGGCCGGTTTTGGATGTTGTTTTTTTGTAATGTTTTTAAAAAAACAAATTCAATGATTTTTGGAAAAAGAAAAATGTGTAAAAGAAAAAGACTGTAAAAGCACCAGGAATTCAGCAAAAAAATATTTGTATTCAGTAAATCTGTTCCCAAGTATTCTTACAAATAAAAAGAGAGAAATATGTGATCGTGTCTCAATGTAATGAGGTGTGAAATTATTGTTATTTTCAAATGCAATCTATTTTTGAGTTTACTTATGGTCAATTTGCAGTGTACAAATTATTATAATTATGTTCCGTCCCCCCGACCATCCGCTTGAATCTAGTTGCCTACCACTGGCCTATATGATTTCACCTCTAACCTATCTGGTTTTCCTATGCTTCTACAGGTAAAGAGGGAACTAGCCAGTGTCCTGATCTTTGAGTCCCATGCCAAAGCAGGAACAGTGTGTAAGTAGTGTAACACTGTCTTCATGACCGGAGTTCAATTTATTTAACCTAATCAACTTTGCACGCAAGACATCGTTTTATAAATGCATTATCTACATGGAGGTTGTATACTAAACCCTTTTTTTCTGTTGAATTCTTTGAAATGTTTTGGTGGAAAACCTCTTTATAACCTCTTTACATATCAGTTTTTTGTTGTAATCTTTCACTTGTTCAGTGTTCAATCAAGGGGAGGAAGGCACATCGTGGTACATCATTCTAAAGGGCTCTGTAAACGTTGTCATTTATGGAAAGGTAAAAAAAAAAATCAGCCTTCAGAAATAACATGTATTATTTGAATCTCTCATCTCATACAATTGATCCCCATTTGATCAATACAGCTAATCACCATAGCTTACTATAGAATATATGAGTGTGTAAGAGTTATATAATTTAAAATATGCTGTATGTGCTCTCACTCACCTCATTTTCCCTGCATCGCACATGTATTCTTTGTTTGCTTGTTTCACACAGGGGGTTGTTTGCACGCTGCATGAGGGAGATGACTTTGGGAAGCTTGCCCTGGTCAACGATGCCCCCCGCGCCGCCTCCATTGTCCTACGAGACGATAACTGCCACTTCCTACGTGTGGACAAGGAGGACTTCAACCGGATCCTGAGAGTGAGTTATCTGGGGAAGTTAACGTGGCCCTCCTCCACCTCTGCTCAGTGTCAAGTCCCACTATCATTTTTCAATGGTATAGTCTCCCTCTATTGGTTGAGGTTCAACATTGCAGAATGATGCCTACATTAAAGGATACTCTACTATCAACTTTGTAGTTCAATGGAGACAGATGTCTGTAGAAAAGGTACAGGATAAACCCTAAGGCAAACCTTCAACTGTTAGCCTCTTGTCTCTCTACATTCTCCCTCCACAGCCTATTGTTTAGCCTGGCCCATATGCAGCCTGCATCAGACTTTGATAGGACATCAGGGTCTTGATTGTGTCTATTGAAAAGCGGATGGATGGATGATGGTTATCTGTGTGATCCACAGAGGCAGGCACTCTGTATTAGGCTCATTCAATCCTCTGTATATCTCCTGTTGGCTCTGGCCTGATGGGCTGCTAGGCCAGACACAGGCTACGTCCCAAATGGAACCCTATTCCCTATATAGTACCCTACTTTTGAATAGAGCCCTATGGGCCCTGGTCAAAAGTTGTGCACTACATAGGAAATAGGGTGTCATTTGGGATGCAGCCTCAGTCAAACTGCTGACCTCCCAGTCTCCCTGTCAGTTGTACTAGCATACTAATCCATCAGGCTTACAGTACCATAGTCCTGATGGGATGATGTAGTCAGGCCTCTGCATGCGAACTACCAGGGGCCATATTTAAGTCAGAGAAAGAAGTCAACTATCCCCCCATTATTTTGGCTGCATGTACTGTAGGCCTATTCTGCAGGATTTGCTTGTACAATATTACCGATATATATTATTATAATATACAGTATATATATACACTATATATACACACAGTGGCAAGTTTATTAGGTACACCCATCTAGTACCAGGTCGGACCCCTTCTTTGCCTCCAGAACAGCGTACCGAGATGCCGTTCTGCACACAACTGTTGTAGTGCACAGTTATTTGCCTGTTTGTGGCCCGCCTGTTAGTTTGCACGATTCTTGACATTCTCCTTCGACCGCTCATCAATGAGCTGTTTTCGCCGCCAACTGGATTTATTTTGTTTGTCGCACCATTCTCGGTAAACCCTAGACACTGTCGTGCGTGAAAAGCCCAGGAGGCCGGCCGTTTCTGAGATACTGGAACCGGCACGCATGGCACTGACGATCATACCACGCTCAAAGTCGCTTAGGTCACTCGTTTTGCCCATTCTAACGTTCAATCAAACAATAACTGAATGCCTCGATGCCTGTCTGCCTGCTTTATATAGCAAGCCACGGCCATGTGACTCACTGTCTGTAGGAGTGAACCATTTTTGTGAACAGGGTGGTGTACCTAATAAACTGGCCACTGTGTGTGTATATACGTATATATACATACATACATACATATACAAAAGTATGTGGACACCCCAAAATTTGAAATTGTGTTTTTTACATTGGATAAAAGTAGAGACTCAGAGCTACAAAATGGTATACCACATACTACAGTTGAGGAACAATGGGAAAGTAATTATGCTTCGAAAGTTGATAAACTTGTAACTTCACTTTTGAGAAAATGGACCTTGAATGATTTGGTACACCTACTGGAGAGCTCTTCTTTGTCTACACCTATTCAGCATAGTTCACACCCTCTTAAGCCTTAGCCCCACCCATCTCTTTAAGGATTCATGTATGAGGCCATGTGCTAAACAGAGTAAAGAAGTGTAGTAAACAACCAAAGATTTCAAGACTAAAAGTGGGTTAAGTAGTAGCCTACAATAAGGAAAAACTCCAGGTAAAAATACACTTTATCTAGTCCTTGGCCCATATCCTAATCTGACTTTGAAAGTGTACAGATCAAAATATTGTATCAATATTTTATAATTATTAGATGATGCTTACCCAGACACTTGTCTAAATTGATGGGTCATGTGAAATAAATGCTATAACCACCCCCCAGCCACATCTAGCTAAGTGGATGGGTCACTATTGTCTAAACATGTACACGTCCATGAAATACAATAAATGGCCGTAATCACCCCCAGACACACCTGGCTAACTTGATGGGTCATGTAATCATTCTCGTACGAAGTGTAGTCTTTTGTTTAGACATGTAGCTAACTAGCTAAACAATGAACCATAATCCCAACCCATAGCTACAGTACAAACGGATTGTCATAGCTAGCCACCATGCATGAAATGCTGGAGTATGAATCTGCAGGTAGCTAAAGCTAACCAACTTGGTTCAACGTTAGCTAGCTAGCTAACATTAGGCTATAACTAGCAATGCAAATAGTTTTCTGAGATACAAATAATATTACTACACAGATCATACACGTAACGTTAGCTAGCGAGTCAGCAAGCTAACGATTGCTAGCTTGCTAACATTACGCTTTATCTTGCAATGAAAACGACTTTCTGACAAAAGTTGAAACTTATAATATCTGAAAATATCTGAAAATGCTAGACTCTTACCCGTATACATGGATGAACGCTTCACGGCAGTGTGTCTTTTCCGTTTGGTTTGTAGCTAGTTACAGCTTGTTTGGCCCATTGTTGTGTCAAGACACTCTGGTTCACACTGACCGTGTGCAGAAAGTAGTCCATCACAATTTTTTCCCACTCATCTTTGTCAATAGCGCCTGCTAAATTCTGGGCCGCAATGTTGTTGAGAGCAGTAGCAACACTTTTTCAGTTATCCATGGCTTATATCTTTCAAAAAAGCCACGGTAGCAAGGACTATCTACACATACTGAGCAGCTCATGTTATAGACAGAAGCGAGCTACATGGCAGACCAATCCAAACTCATCTCTCGGCATGTCCAGCCCATCCATTATCTCAGCCAATCATGGCTACCGGGAAGGTTCCTGTCTTTTTCCGTAAATGTAACAATTTCATTCGTTTTTACAGATGGTATACAAGTTTGTTATAAAGGCACATGAAAGTTCACATGTTCCAGATGGCATTTCTGCCAAAAAAATGCATTTTGATAAAAAAAATTAGAATAACGTTCAAATGCCTCTCCTGTGAAGTAGTGACGTTTGACATATGCCTAGCTTCTTGAAACTGGTCTTATTTATGATGTTATAATGATGAATTTGTGCCTGTGTGTGTGTGTGTGTGTGTGTGTGTGTGTGTCCAGGACGTGGAGGCCAACACGGTGCGTCTGAAGGAACATGATCAGGATGTTCTGGTCCTGGAGAAGAGCCCCAGCAGCAGCCAGACCTCCACCCACGGCACCACCACCACCTCCCACTACAAGTAGCCTACTGAGCTAACTCTATCAGTCTCACCTTTTCATCTACTCACTATATGATTAAACCACTTACTGTAGCAGCACTGTTCAATAGAGGTAGATTTATATAGGAAGTTAAAGGGGACTGTAGGTGTGTGAGACCCTAACCTCACTCCCTTCAGGAAAGAGTATGAGAAACTGGAAGACAAGTCCCAAATGGCACCCTATTCCCTTTAGAGGAGTGTGGTTAGTGTGTGAGATACTCTCTTGAAGAGATTTGTGAGTGGAAGAAGTGGGTGAGTTTGAGTTACTCTCTGCTAAAGGGTGTGTAGTAGTGTGGAGCTGGAGACCGGGCATCAGTTCTAGGGTAAGCCAAGGCTGTGACTGCGAGGCTGCAGACGTGTGTTATCTACTAGCTAGACTTAATGGAGGTTGCTGCCAGTGACCGCGGCTGCAGTAATGGAGAGAGACACTTTAATGTTAATCACTGAGAGATGGACTCCCATGGAGAAGGCAGGCCCCGTGGGTCACAATCACTCTGCCAAGGTTGGCCTCTAATCAACTACGGTGCCAGTCACATATGAAGAGTGTGAGGGTGTCAAGCTCCTCTCCTTCCCCCGTGGAGTGCCTGGCACACACCGCCTGTGTCCCAAATGCCACCCTATTCCCTATTTAGTGCACAACTTTTTTTTTACCAGGACCCTATGGAGGAATAGGGTGCCATTTGGGACACATACACCTTGTTTTCTGTCTCCCCTTAACTAGCCAATCACAACAAGCCTGGCTTTGTAGTGTGTTGATTATTAAGGTCAAGTGGTGGTCTCTCCCTCTGTTTACCTATGGAGAGACTTCCACACCCACTCTCACCCAGCCAGCCCATTATAACCTACAGCACTGGTCAGGATCTCTTTGACTGTAGTTTGGATTATTATCTAATGTAGTAATCACAGGCAGGTATTCAGATGACACGGCTCAGTGAAGTGTGGATGGGATAGGAACTGTAGTGAGAACTAGCAGGAACCTGTCTTGTTTAATTTAATAGGTGATTGATTGACACTGCCATTCCAGATACACTGTGATGTCAGGGACACCAGAGAAGATTCTGGAGCACTTCCTAGAAATGATGCGACTGGACTCTCACCTCAACGAATCAGGTATAGTAGTGCATTCTGTCCCTCCAATAACATCTCTGGCCACTGTGTACTGTTGTATTTCTGTGTAGGGACCAAATTACCACTATTTCAACCCTATGTGATATGGACTAATGTAGATGGATGTGTTGTGTTCGTCATGGCTGTCGTGTTTAGATTGTCTCCACTGTACCCTCTGAGAGAGAGAGCATCCATCCTCCGTGCTGCTGCTGACCTGTTTGTTCATGTCTATAATTAGTAGCGCATCACAGTGCTTATCTAATTACGCTTGGTTGTGTGGACTCTCCTGGCTGCTTTCATGTCCCAGCCGTCCACGGTGACAGAGCCATGTGTGATCAAGCCTATAATACTGTCAGCATGCTGGCCTGGCACCCATTCATCTGACATCACAGGTGCCTCTTTCTCTATCTCTCCCTCTCTCTGCACAGACCCAGCTCTGGACGACTTTGTGCTCATGCACTGCGTCTTCATTCCTAACAGCCAGCTGTGTCCAGTGCTCATGGCCCAATATCCTTTCAGTCACTGAAAATAGCAAATTATGAGCGTATATGTTTTTGTGTGAATTTTTACAAATGAGTATCAGTATCCCTTATGTATCCTGTATGTATTAGACATCCAAGAGTAGGATCAGAATCAGGATATAGGATCAGGTCCCCCATGTCCTAATAATCATATTCATTGTTACTTAAATGGCAAAACTGATCCTGAATCAACACTCTGAGACGCTTGCTACAAATGGCCCCTGGACTAAAATGGGAGTCAAGCTGTAGCTCCTATGTGTTTCTGTCCTTAACGACACTGCACCTACCACGCTGAGGCGTCCCAGGGCTCAGAACAGGAGCGTCTGGACTACACCTTGAACAACAAGAGGAGGGTGATCAGGCTGGTGCTGCAGTGGGCCTCAGTACATGGAGATCACCTTCAGGAGGAGGACGCCTCACTAGCCTTCCTAGAGGTCAGTGGATATATCCCAAATGGCACCCTATTCCCTATGTCGTGCACTACTTTTGACCAGAGCCCTAGCCCAAAGGTAGTGCACTATAAAGGGAATAGGGTGCCATTTGGGACTTATATTCCTCACCATCTTTTCTTGTGTACTGGATTCAGCTTGTTGCTTAAAAAGATACTGCTTGCTGTAAATTGTATAGTATTAGTGATCCTCATCTGATAATCCAAATGAGTTTGGGCTCATTTTGAACCTCTCCTCATTGTGAGTGTCGATATGTTGCAGGAGTTCTTTGTGTCTGTATCTGATGATGCCAGTGTGATTCCTGCTCTGAAAGATCAACTCCCAGAGTTAGAGAAGATAGTTAAAAACAGGTAAGTGTGTGTAAATGTACAGTGAGGGAAAAAAGTATTTGATCCCCTGCTGATTTTGTACGTTTGCCCACTGACAAAGATATGATCAGTCTATAATTTTAATGGTAGGTTTATTTGAACAGTGAAAGACAGAATAACAACAAAGAAATCCAGAAAAACGCATGTCAAAAATGTTATAAATTGATTTGCATTTTAATGAGGGAAATAAGTATTTGACCCCTCTGCAAAACATGACTTAGTACTTGGTGGCAAAACCCTTGTTAGCAATCACAGAGGTCAGACGTTTCTTGTAGTTGGCCACCAGGTTTGCACACATCTCAGGAGGGATTTTGTCCCACTCCTCTTTGCAGATCTTCTCCAAGTCATTAAGGTTTTGAGGCTGACATTTGGCAACTCAAACCTTCAGCTCCCTCCACAGATTTTCTATGGGATTAAGGTCTGGAGACTGGCTAGGCCACTCCAGGACCTTAATGTGCTTCTTCTTGAGCCACTCCTTTGTTGCCTTGGCCGTGTGTTTTGGGTCATTGTCATGCTGGAATACCCATCCACGACCCATTTTCAATGCCCTGGCTGAGGGAAGGAGGTTCTCATCTGACCACAACACTTTCACCCAGTTCTCCTCTGAATCATTCAGATGTTCATTGGCAAACTTCAGACGGGCCTGTATATGTGCTTTCTTGAGCAGGGGGACCTTGCGGGCGCTGCAGGATTTCAGTCCTTCACGGCGTAGTGTGTTACCAATTGTTTTCTTGGTGACTATGGTCCCAGCTGCCTTGAGATCATTGACAAGATCCTCCCGTGTAGTTCTGGGCTGATTCCTCACCGTTCTCATGATCATTGCAACTCCACGAGGTGAGATCTTGCATGGAGCCCCAGGCCGAGGGAGATTGACAGTTCTTTTGTGTTTCTTCCATTTGCAAATAATCTCACCAATTGTTGTCACCTTCTCACCAAGCTGCTTGGCGATGGTGTTGTAGCCCATTCCAGCCTTGTGTAGGTCTACAATCTTGTCCCTGACATCCTTGGAGAGCTCTTTGGTCTTGGCCATGGTGGAGAGTTTGGAATCTGATTGATTGATTGCTTCTGTGGACAGGTGTCTTCTATACAGGTAACAAACTGAGATTAGGAGCAATCCCTTTAAGAGTGTGCTCCTAATCTCAGCTCGTTACCTGTATAAAATACACCTGGGAGCCAGAAATCTTTCTGATTGAGAGGGGGTCAAATACTTATTTCCCTCATTAAAATGCAAATTTATAACATTTTGGACATTTTTTCTTGATTTATTTGTTGTTATTCTGTCTCTCACTGTTCAAATAAACCTACCATTAAAATTATAGACTGATAATTTCTTTGTCAGTGGGCAAACGTACAAAATCAGCAGGGGATCAAATACTTTTTTCCCTCACTGTATTGTTACTGCGTTGCACTTATCTTTAGTGTCCCGAGCTTTAGAATGGTGTAATCTCATTTTGTTTACCTTTTCAGCTCTGATGATGCAAGATGTTCTCCAAAAAAGGTATGTGACCCAGCTATGACCCCGAGCACAGTAGTCGTATTCTGTGCTTTTGTTTTCATTGTCAACCCGCGCTATACACTACCAGTCAAAAGTTTGGACACATCTGCTCATACAAGGGTTTTTCTTTATTTTTTACTATTTTCTACATTGTAGAATAATAGTGAAGACATCAAAACTATGAAATAACACATATGGAATCATGTAGTAACCAAAAACATATATTTTATATTTGAGATTCTTCAAATACACCCTTTGCCTTGATGACAGCTTTGCACACTCTTGGCATTCTCTCAACCAGCTTCATGAGGTAGTCACCTGGAATGCATTTCAATTAACAGGTGTGCTTTCTTAAAAGTTAATTTGTAGAATTTCTTTCCTTCTTAATGTGTTTGAGCCAATCAGTTGTGACAAGGTAGGGGGGTATACAGAAAATAGCCCTATTTGGTAAATACCAAGTCCATATTATGTCAAGAACAGCTCAAATAAGCAAAGAGAAATGACAGTCCATCATTACTTTAAGACATGAAGGTCAGTCAATCCGGAAAATTTCAAGAACTTTGAAAGTTTCTTCAAGTGCAGTCGCAAAAAACATCAAGCACTATGATGAAATTGACTCTCATGAGGACCGCCAAAGGAATGGAAGACCCAGAGTTACCCCTACTGCAGAGGATAAGTTCATTAGAGTTACCAGCCTCAGAAATTGCAGCCCAAATAAATGCTTCACAGAGTTCAAGTCACAGACACATCTCAACATCAACTGTCCAGAGGGGACTGTGTGAATCAGGCCTTCTTGGTTGCATTGCTGCAAAGAAACCACTACTAAAGGACACCAATAATAAGAAGAGACCTGCTTGGGCCAAGAAACACGAGCAATGGACATTAGACCGTTAGAAATGTGTACTTTGGTCTGGAGTCCAAATTTGAGGTTTTTGGTTCCATCCGCTGTGTCTTTGTGAGACGCGGTGTGGGTGAATGGATGATCTCCACATGTGTATTTCCCACCGTAAAGCATGGAGAAGGAGGTGTTATGATGTGGGGGTGCTTTGCTGGTGACACTGTCTGTGATTTATTTAGAATTCAAGGCACACTAAACCAGCATGGCTACCACAGCATTCTGCAGCGATACGCCATCCCATCTGGTTTGGGCTTAGTGGGAATATAATTTGTTTTTCAACAGGACAATGACCCAACACGCCTCCAGGCTGTGTAAGGGCTATTTTACCAAGAAGGAGTGTGATGGAGTGCTGCATCAGATGACCTGGCCTCCACAATCACCCAACCTCAATCCAATTGAGATGGTTTGGGATAAGTCGGACGACAGAGTGAAGGAAAAGCAGCCAACAAGTGCTCAGCATATGTGGGAACTCCTTCAAGCCTGTTGGAAAAGCATTCCAGGTGATGCTGGTTGAGAGAATGCCAAGAGTGTGCAAAGCTGTCATCAAGGCAAAGGGTGGCTATTTGAAGAATCTCAAATATCAAATATATTTTGATTTGTTGAACACTTTTTTGGTTACTACATGATTCCATATGTGTTATTTCATAATGTTGATGTCTTCACTATTATTCTACAATGTAGAAAATAGTAAATATAAAGAAAAACCCTTGAATGAGTAGGTGTGTCCAAACTTTTGACTGGTACTGAACGTACATTTCCCCCGCTCATGCTTTTTTTGTCATGCTGTCCTGTTTCAGCACAAAGTCCTGTTGCGGCAGTTCAGCATGGGGGATGAGAAGCTGCAGAAACGACAGGTCATCAAGAGTAATGATGAGAGTAAGTATGGCGTAGTGTATGTGTGAAATCATGCAGGATATGAGTTAGAAGAGAGCTAAAAGCTATAGAAAAGCACAGTGTAGTAGTATGAGCCTTTTGGCAGCCAGCAGTGACACAGTGTTTTGAACATCTACAATGACCTGGACTCTAGTTTGTCTTCCCATCCCCCATTCCTCCATGTTAATGACCCTGTATTGTGCTCTGTCCCCATGCAGTCCTGTTCAAAGTGTACTGCAGTGACCACACCTACACCACCATCCGGGTCCCCGTGGCCGCCTCAGTCAGAGAGGTCATCAGCGCTGTGGCCGACAAGCTGGGGTCAGCGGAGGACCTCCTCCTGGTCAACCTCAGTTCGGCCGGAGGTGAGAAGGGCCACAGCCACACGCTAATCAAACGATGGTGGACGCCACACAGTCTTTCCACACATAGCTATTTGCAGATGCTATGATGCTCATTAATCAGGGGCTGATTTACTGGGAAATGATTGGCTTTTGGTGCTGAATTACTCTGTTCCAATTACCTGGTGTATGCTCAAGATAGTACCGTAGCCTGCAGGAGAGCAGCATAGAGAAAAGCTTGGGGCAATATTGCTGTTCTTGCTTCAACTCATAAGATTCTACACACGCCTGTTGCTGCCATTGGCTGGTACTTGCTGTATGGATATTCCAGTGTCTCTGCCAGGGCGTACTTATCCACCTCTCTCTCTGGCCCATGTTTGATCTGCTCTTTCCCCGTACCAAGTAGTAAATAAAGCCAGAAGCGCAGCTGCTCCATGGTCTCTGAGACCCTAATCATATTGCCCATTAATCTAGTTATTTACTGGCATTTGTTTTGCTGCTAAGAATCTGGGCACAATTCTCTGCTGAGGATTCAGAGGAATTTGGATGCCCCAGTCTGTCATATTAATCAAATCAAATCAAATCAAATTGTATTGGTCACATGCGCCGAATACAACAGGTGCAGACATTACAGTGAAATGCTTACTTACAGCCCTTAACCAACAGTGCATTTATTTTAAACTAAAAAGTAAAAATAAAACAACAACAAAAAAAAGTGTTGAGAAAAGAAAGAGCAGAAGTAAAATAAAGTGACAGTAGGGAGGCTATATAATCAGGGGGGTACCGTTGCAGAGTCAATGTGCGGGGGCACCGGCTAGTTGAGGTAGTTGAGGTAATATGTACATGTGGGTAGAGTTAAAGTGACTATGCATAAATACTTAACAGAGTAGCAGCAGCGTAAAAAGGATGGGGTGGGGGGGCAGTGCAAATAGTCCGGGTAGCCATGATTAGCTGTTCAGGAGTCTTATGGCTTGGGGGTAGAAGCTGTTGAGAAGTCTTTTGGACCTAGACTTGGCACTCCGGTACCGCTTGCCGTGCGGTAGCAGAGAGAACAGTCTATGACTAGGGTGGCTGGAGTCTTTGACAATTTTGAGGGCCTTCCTCTGACACTGCCTGGTATAGTGGTCCTGGATGGCAGGAAGCTTTGCCCCAGTGATGTACTGGGCCGTACGCACTACCCTCTGTAGTGCCTTGCGGTCGGAGGCCAAGCAGTTGCCATACCAGGCGGTGATGCAACCAGTCAGGATGCTCTCGATGGTGCAGCTGTAGAATTTTTTGAGGATCTGAGGACCCATGCCAAATCTTTTTAGTCTCCTGAGGGGGAATAGGCTTTGTCGTGCCCTCTTCACGACTGTCTTGGTGTGTTTGGACCATGATAGTTCGTTGGTGATGTGGACACCAAGGAACTTGAAGCTCTCAACCTGTTCCACTACAGCCCCGTCGATGAGAATGGGGGCAATATTGCCAGTTCTAATGCTAACATAATGCAGCCTCTTCAGAGTCTTCTTGACCACTTTCTTTGATGATGAAGTTAAAGGACGACTGGGGGTTATATCAGATGAAACAGCAGAGCTCCATGGCAACCGCAGCCAGTTAAACCCTGTAGCAGTGTAACCTTCTACTCCTGGGATTAGGGCTAAGTAAAATACCGGGGGGCATCTTTAGCACCTTACCCTTGTTATGTGACTTTTGAACATAGTATAATAATATGCTTATGTTTTTATATGATGATGATGATGATGATGATAATAATAATAATAATAATAATAATAATAATAATAATTGATTAAACTTCTATAGCGCTTTTCATAACAGAAATAAATCTCAAAGCGCTTCAAAAGCAAAAAACTAACAAACAAGCAATACACTATCATGAGTAGCCTAGAAAAAGCTAGCTAGGTCAACCAATAGAGGCCATAGATGGAGAGGGACAGTTCATGGCGTGATCAGAGGAAGGTGGTCAAAGAGATAGTTGAAGAAGAGTCTGGTGACGATCTTGTAGAGGGCTACTCTGGGAACAAGCTTGAGTTGTGTAGCCATTGGACCTTTCCTCCTTCACAGTGTGTGGCACCCACTTGGGTGATGGCTCAGCAGCTCTGGGCGCAAGAAAGCTCACCACACACAGTTCAGAGTAGTAGCCAGTCATCCTCCCTACGAACCCTCTGCCTCAGCACTGCATTCCTCCACTGCATTTCCCATTCCTCTCAAGCTTCAGATGGCTCCTCAAATGATGTTTTCAAAAGATCAGGAACCAGCAGCCAGGTGAAACAAAAAAGCTGGTAGCTGTGTCCAGATGAATCATTCAAACAAAAACATTAGCCAGCTAGCTTGCTAGCTACAGTAGCAAAGCCAAAAAGAGTTGACCTGCCAGTCAGTCTGCAAATTTGTGGGTTAAAACTACCAGATATATGTGATAAAGACTCAATGTTATAAAAAAAAAAACTGCTGATAATTCTTTTTTTTACAGGAGCTCTGTCTCATGTCTTTGCCATCTCTCGTTTGTTGTTTTCCTTCAGATAAAGTGGTGCTGAAGCCCAACGATATTTCAGTCTTCTCCACACTCAGCATCAATGGCCGTCTGTTTGTCTGCCCCAGGGATCAACTGGATTCATTGGTGTGTAAATGCCCCTCAGAAAAAAAAAAAAACGCATTCAGACTGACCTGACTGATTCCCAGAGGTTCCACTACAAACAAATCTCGTGCATCTGTTACTTTGAAGCATGTTGCTTCTCATGTATTTCGCTCATGTAATATTTTGTTTTAAATCAACAGACATATGTTCACTGGCCGGAGGCTACTGTTGCATTTCGACTTGTTATAGTTGTGTAACTGTCATTGTATCTATCAAAATGGTCCTGTATTTCATATGAGTGTTAATTGTATGATGAAGGATGATATACAGACAAATGTAAATTATACTGTATATTAAGTGTGCGCTATATTTCAGACACCCTTGCCAGAGCAGGAAGGGCCCTCCACTGGCTCCATGGGCAGCTTTGAGTTGATGAGCTCTAAAGACCTGGCCTATCAGATGACTGTCTACGACTGGGAACTCTTCCACTGTGTACATGAGGTGTGTCAGACCACTGAGGGAATGAGGAATTACTTGATTCTATGGCTGTGTCCTAAATGACACCCTATTCCCTATATAGTGCACTACTTTCAACCAGAGCCCAATGGGGAATAGGGTGCCATTTGGGACGCAGTCTGTCTTCCTATCGATTAACTATTCAACCAATATATTGATACCTTATTATGGAAACTATCAGGGACACGGTAATTGACTTTCTCTCTTGCCCTGTTCTACAGCATGAGCTGATCTACCATACGTTTGGGAGGCAGAACTTCAAGAAGACCACGGCCAACATGGACCTGTTCCTCAGGAGGTTCAATGAGATCCAGCTGTGGGTGATCACAGAGATCTGTCTGTGTACTCAGCTCAGCAAGCGCGTTCAGATGCTCAAGAAGTTCATCAAGATCGCTGCCCAGTGAGTGGCACTTGCCATGTCCCAGTCCTCCTGTCGCCCTCTCTCTCTCATGCACGGATTCATGCACGTTTGTACACACACACACACACACACACACACACACACACACACACATGGCCCTGCTACTCTACAGCCATCGGGCGTCAGCCATTGAGGGAATGATTCCTTTGAAAAGAAATGAAAGCTGCTATACTGCCCTTGTTGTGCTCGTGTTGCGTCACGTCCAATGGCAGCGTCTAAGCTCAAGAATCGCTGAGGTTCAATTCTTGATGGCTGACGCATACATTCATTGATTGAAATAATGAGAAGTTGATTTTGGTTGCTTATGGTCTCGACTATATACCACTGGTCATTTTATTAAGAAGCTACTAGCTAGCATAATGTCAAGAAGCTACTAGCTAGCATAAAGTCAAGAAGCTACTAGCTAGCATAAAGTCAAGAAGCTACTAGTTAGCATAAACTCTTAGCTAGCTAGCTAGCTACATTGAGTACAGTTACATGCACACAATAATATGATTATTGTGAATAGTCAGATAAATATAATAGTTTGATTTAAACGTTTACATGCTTTGCAAGAAGAATGATTTCCCTAATAATCCTGTTTACATGGACACATCTGAAACCAGGCTACCTGATGGGACTTTGATAAATGCAGAAAATTGCCAATCAAAATAAACGTTCTACTACACGTTCTACCACAGCCACCATGTTATTTTGGGGATTTCGGACATATAAAAGTTGTATGGGAAAACTATTTTTAAGATGCATAATTTTTCCGAACTCACTTTATTCGCGCAAAAGAAGGAAGCTTGCGCTGCTAGTGCTAGCACATATCTAATACACCGCTGTAACTCTGATTTAAGGCGTTTACATGTCATAATAATTCGAAAGATTGCTCAGAAAACCAGGTGTTTTAATCGGCGTATGCTTACTTCGATTATGATCTTACGCCGATTTAAGATAAACAGAGTAAGTAGGCAGTGCTACATGACTAATGCCATACTCGGCATACTGCCATAATCAGTTTAATATCGAATGTAAATGTACTCACGGACTATGTTCACAATGTAAACAAAAGCAACTAGTGTAATTAGAGGGTAATTTAGTACAACCACTAGCAACAATTTAAGGAGTACTTGCGAAAAACTGGACCAAAGCTATTGTACTTACACATAAGGATGAATATATTACAGTACATTAGGGGTATAAAAACAAATAAAGAGAGTCGCACACTCTATGTATAAAATCACTGTTAAGAAGGCACAGTGATGCCGAAACGTTGGTGGTTTCTTACCCAATAAATTACTGGGAGTTTATACATCGAGTGTGCGACTCTCTTTATTTGTTTTTATAGCTTACAGTTTATTCACCGTTAGTCAACACCTCTACACTAAATAATGTTATCTGGGTGTGCGCCAGCTCATGCTTTTTACAGTACAGTAGGGGAAAATAGAATAAAGGTGCTCAGGTAGCAGGTAGATTTTTTTTTTTTAGCAGAGCGACTTACAGTTAGTGCATAAATTTTTTTCTTCCATACTGGACCCCCGTGGGAATCGAACCCACAACCCTGGCGTTGCAAGCGCCATGATCTACCAACTAAGCTACAGTAGGCAATTTCACATTGACTCGACGCTGATGGGAAAGCAACCAAACGTGTATAATGGCCACACACACACACACACACACACACACACAGACCCCTATGATGACTTATATTAGTCACATGTAACATGTGACCTGATCCTGATAAATGATTGGACTATTTTCTCTCTGTAACAGCTGTAAGGAGTATAAGAACCTCAACTCCTTCTTCGCTATCATTATGGGCATGAGCAACCCAGCCGTGAGCAGACTGAGTCAGACCTGGGAGGTGGGTGTCTGTCCGTCCGTCTTTGTCTGTCACGGTGTCTGTATATCTGTCTGTCCAACAACACTCACCTGTGTTTAGCACCTGCCCAAGAATATAGTGGTTTCATCTGTCTGTTAACCTTGCTTGTTATTTGTGTTGACAGAAACTACCCAGCAAATTCAAGAAATTTTACAGCGAATTTGAAAGCTTAATGGTGAGTAGTATGAACCATTTTAGCCCCATACAGTGGCTTGCAAAAGTATTCACCCCCCTTGGTATTTTTCCTATTTTGTTGCCTTACAACCTGGAATTAAAATGGATTTTTTGGGGGTTTGTATCATTTGATTTACACAACATGCCTACCACTTTGAAGATGCAAAATATATTTTTTATTGTGAAACAAACAAGAAATAAGACAAATAAGATATTTGTAGAACCACCTTTTGCAGCAATTACAGCTGCAAGTCTCTTAGGGTATGTCTCTATAAGCTTGGCATATCTAGCCACTGGGGTTTCTGCCCATTCTTTAAGGAAAAACTGCTCCAACTTCTTCAAGTTGGATGGGTTCCGCTGGTGTACAGCAATCTTTAAGTCATACCACAGATTCTCAGTTGGATTGAGGTCTGGGCTTTGACTAGGCCATTCCAAGACATTTCAATGTTTCCCCTTAAACCACTCGAGTGTTGCTTTAGCAGTATGCTTAGGGTCATTGTCCTGCTGGAAGGTGAACCTCCGTCCCAGTCTCAAATCTCTGGAAGACTGAAACAGATTTCCCTCAAGAATTTCCCTGTATTTAGCGCCATCCATCATTCCTTCAATTCTGACCAGTTTCCCAGTCCCTGCCGATAAAAAGCATCCCCACAGCATGATGCTGCCACCACCATGCTTCACTGTGGGGATGGTGTTCTCGGGGTGATGAGAGGTGTTGGGTTTGACAGATCATGTGACACTTAGATTGCACACAGGTGGACTTATTTAACTAATTATGTGTTCTGAAGGTAATTGGTTGCACCAGATCTTATTTAGGGGCTTCATAGCAAAGGGGGTGAATACATATGCACGCACCACTTTTCCGTTATTTATTTTGTATAATTCTTTGAAACAAGTGATTTTTTTCATTTCACCTTACCAATTTGGACTATTTTGTGTATGTCCATTACATGAAATCCAAATAAAAATCTATTTAAATTACAGGTTGTAATGCAACAAAATAGCAAAAACGCCAAAGGGGGTGAATACTTTTGCAAGGCACTGTATCAACTATTCATCCACTCACATAGTCTCTAGCCTTGCTTTCTATAGCTTCTATTTATTCAAATATTGAATTGAAACTTGACATTCTTGGATGGTCATTTGTCATCGAGCAATGTATGGATTGAGCAGCACCACCCTTGGCTGTGACTGTGATATGCCCACTTAACATGGTTATGGCAGATCTCAGAACAGTGTGAGTGTTTCCACAGGACCCGTCCAGGAACCACCGGGCGTATCGGCTCACTGTGGCCAAGCTGGACCCACCCATCATTCCCTTCATGCCGCTGCTGATCAAAGGTCATTGCAACACAACACAGCTCTCTCTCCACTGTCTATATGACCCTCCATGTTGTTTTACCCATTATCTTACCCATTGATTGACCATTGAGAGGTTTATCCTCACTGCCTCTTGTGTGAAGAAATGACTTAAATGTAAAATGTAAATGTTAAAGAAATTATTATCAGCAACTTTTGAACTATTGTTTTGGAGTGTCGACCTGTGACACAGTGTAACTACAGTAGCTTCTATATTGTTTGCTTGTGTCAATTCCACTCCTTGTACTTTTGTATATGCTCTTTCTATGTGTGTAATCATATTGCTGTTATCTTTTCAGACATGACATTCACTCATGATGGAAACAAGACGTTAATTGACAGTTTGGTCAATTTTGAGAAAATGGTAAGGCCCTCCAGGATGATATAGATTTTTACATTATATTATTTTATATTGAAAGGCTAAATTATTAATGGCACCCTGAAAAAGGAACAGTGATGCCGAAACATTGGTGTTTTAGCCACAAAATTACTGGGAGCTTACATATAGTGTGCGACTCTCTTTATTTGTATAAATTAATGATGGTAAAGTGTGTTTGTGTATTTATTTATTTTTAGCGAATGATCGCTAATACAGTGAGGATTGTGAGATACTGCAGAAGTCTGCCATTCAGTAAGTCAACATACTGTTCATCTGTGTAGTCTTCACTTGACTGGCTTACAACAGGACATTGTTTTAATAAAAGTGGGTTTCCTCTTCCTCTCAGGTGCAGAGACATCTCAGACCAGTAAGAACCACCCGGACGTGCGGAGCTACGTGCGCCAGCTGACTGTTATTGACAACCAGAGAACACTGTCTCAGCTCTCCCATAGACTGGAGCCTCGCAGAACCTGAATCCTCCCTGGACACTTGAAGGACACTGGACAGACACTGGACAGACACATGTCACATGCTGCTACTCTACTGCCAAAAATAAGCTTGCTTTATAAAGTATGTTATACTAATACACACACATACTACATGGAACTTCACATTATTACATGGATAGTCAAGTATCATTTTAGATGCTACAGCTACAGAGTTAATCAGCTCCACCTTCAACAGTATTTCAAATGTCACTATAATTTCTGCTTCTTTGTTTCCTTTATGTGTATTGTTTTCATTTTTATAAACAATTGGCAGCAGTCTGGTTTAAATTAAAGGATATTTTGGAAATAATCATCCATTAGATTGTTGCACAAATCTATGTCAAGTTGATGTTAGTAAGGAAACTTTCCGAATGGAAACATTGGCTCTTATTTCACTCCCTGACCTGAATTACAAATCCTGATATTCAGTTGTGGTTTCATATCTTTTTTTGTAAATCAGATTATATTTATACATATTTTAGTTTGTGGTTTTTTATTACACATTGTACAATGTATTCATATATTTATTATGACCTCAGCATGCAATGATTTGAGATGTTGGGCTGGATATATGTGAGCACATTCCTCTATAAAAGTCTGAGGTAACTATTGTCTGCAATATTTTTTCCCATGTTTATTCTGTAAATATTAAAAACGAATTAAATGTATCTGATGACGATGCTGTTCATTTGATTGTCCATTGATTATTTTGATAACTATTTTGTATAATAACTAATTATGAGCTGAGCTGATAATATATTTAGAGTAGCCCGAAATAATATTTCAAATACCGTTTCATGCTGCCATAGTAGTCTTTCGATGATAATAAAACTAATTCAATTCCCTAAGACTGCAGGTGTTGGTTGTTATAATATAGCTGCTACGTCTATGTAGTGCTAATATCGTTTGGGGTGTACAGATTTTGTCCATTGAGCGGAGCTGTTGTCATCAGCATTTGTGTGAAAGTACTCGAAATATGTCGAGATCTTCTCTCTGTATGCAGCCCGGGTCAAGGAAGTTGGGCAACTCTAGAAATCACCGTGTGGGAAATCATAAACGTCACGCCCGTGTTCCGAAAGTGGGGTCTTTACAGTACTGTGTTTGGTTATATGATTTCCTGCAGAAGTTACGGTTCCCATTGAATCTGCCAGACTGTGTTTGCCGCTTTTATTTGTTGGAAAAGTTAAAGGTAGGTAAATCGCATTATGTTTCAGTGTAGCCTAGCCTACGCGCCATGAGATGTTTTCAATTACATCATTTTTTGAAAGCTGTGATAGTCATTAATGCGCGATGTAAACATGTACCAGACAAATAACCTAAATCCTATTATTTGTATCTTTATTTTACAGTTGTCTATTTTTGGCAAAGCTTGATCTCGTGCGTTAGTGCTTTCACTTTTCCAGGGAGAAATGTCTTAGTAATGCGCAACATGGGTGTCATCGAGGAAATGGGCTGTCTTGCCTCAAACGTATGTTAATCCTTAGCTGTCTATCTTGCTAAATTATATTTTACACAATTTAGGGCTCAATTCAATCAAACCCAGATTTTACTATTTACACATTAGGGATGGTTCAAAATGTACATAATGGGGACCTGGAGGGAAATGGGGGAGGGTCATGCTTTTTAAATTTTAGTCAGGGGGACCTTTTAGTATTTTTTTAAATCTAGTCCAGGGTAGGGTCATGTCATTTGTAATTGATGAAATGTCTATATTTATCAGTGTTCTAGAATTAGTTGCTTATTAGGCTATATATCGATGAGTGCCTGATGCTGCCCGCATCTCTGAGCCCTGGCCTGCTCTGCTCTTGCTGATCAAAACCTTTTTTTTGTGCTGCCTAACCAATGGCGGTGCTGTGTAGGCCTACTGTGGCAGATCAAGAGGAGAGTCAAAGGCTTCTCCTGATGTTTAAAAAGAAAACGTGGCCTAGTCCAAAAACTGCAATATCGTGTGCGCGGACTAGCCTATATATTCTGTTCAGTTTGAGAAGGAGAGTGGAAATATGTGAAGGAGGTCTTGAGGTCAACTTTGATAGCTTGCTACTACTATAACTGATTTTAATAACAACAAATGTTTCTTGCTCATGATGTATTTATCAGAGTTATTGACCTCACAATAAGCCAGATTCAATTAACTTGGTGCTGAAACTTGAAGCGGCAGCCGCTGCACAATCAATCTGAAATGGACAGCTCATGGTGCTGAAATTAGGCAAATTTGAGTAGGCATAATTACTTTAAACCGTCTTTACTTTATTAACAATGAGAGGGCTTTATGTTGGAGCCTATTTCTTCCTATTTAAGAAATAAGAGGTAAGCCTACCTGTTTGACAGACAGAATTAGGCTATAGGCTGCTATCCATCGATTGTTTGACCAATTCCTCCACCCACCATACACTCTTTAAATAGCCTACCTCCGTGTCAGTGAAGGGCTGTTAAGTTAAATCCAGGACTCGAATTGAGGGGTATGAGAGGGTATACCATACGCCTACCTTATATTAAAGAAAATTGTAAAAATCATAGGCCTACCCCTTGTTAGCTTAATTTACTGAAATGGGCTAAATCAGGGTCACACTCTTGGTAGTCTTAAACAAATCTACTTTGAAACAAAAGTATACACATCACACACATGCTTATGGGCTTAAAAACAAGACACCTGTACCATGTAAGACATAGAGTTGAAATGTATTCCATTTTGAGTTTGCATCCCAATATTACACTTTATATACATCACAGACAATTGAAATATAACAAAACCGTTTGATATAGAAACACCGGATTTTCAGCAATTTTTTTAAACGTTTATTAATTATGAAATTATGAAACATATGAATAACATTCCACCCATTAAGCCACTAGAGGGTGCTTTGGTCATTCGACTGCAGGAAAGGGTTTTTAAGATTTAAAATAAACTAAAACGGATCCAATTATATAAATTGAACTATAACAGCGCTTTGGTCCGCGATGCTTTATGCTAGAATCAAGTTGTAAAATACCTGGGAAAGACGTGACTCCGATGCATATGGGGATATCTTTGTTTTGTTTCTTTGACATTCAGAGGCTGAGCTACAACCTTCTATAGCCGAAGAGACAAAAAAATTGACTGTACTTGGAAAGTAATCTAATTCTGTCACTATCAATTGATTAAGCTATTCACTTTCTTTACAATAGAAGATGTTTAAACCCAGACAGCTTTTAGGGAAACACTTATGACCTTTTCTCATTGGGTTAAGCCACGGGAGAAGAATAGCCATCGGTTTGAATTCATAACGATGCCTCAGATTGAATTATTTGCAAACAGGGACAGTTTCGTTACAAACAAGACACACTGATTTGGCATTGGATAAATATGATAAGATGAATGCATAACCTATCTCTCTGTCCATTCTCAGCCTGTATTTTTATGTGGTAATAAAAAAGATTCTACTAAGGCCTCCAGTCATGTAAAATGACGTAGAATTGCATGACATTTTTATAAAAGGCAATTTTTTTAACGGACCCATAAATACGATGATAGATTCATGCAATGTTTTTACTATAAAGGACATCTTTCCACCCCTACTCTTGTCCACGGTGGTCTGCGAACCCACAACCTTCTGGCTCGCAGCCCTGTGCGCTATCAAAATTCCTGTGTTTCAATGTAATGCTTACAGGACGAAGAACAATGTTCTCTGCTATCCACTTTATGTTTTCATTTTTATTTTGGGCATAGGGGAGCGTCACTTTAAAAAAAGAAATATCACCATGTCATTGAAAAAAGTCAAAATTCCCTTACGTTGATGACTTTTTGCAAATCCAATCAATTTTCCAAGTTGTTTCAACGTCATCACATTTTATTTTTTTGAAATGATATGGAAACAACGTTGATTCAACCAGTTTTTGCCCAGTGGGTAGTCTATACATATTTTGGGTGTGGTGCATGCAGCAGCATATACACCAATGAGCAATGGCCCCTTCCCATACAGTAGCTCACCCATTGTTTTCCTTGATATGGTGATCTCTCCAAACAGAGCACAGGAGTTGTAACCAGTGCTGTCCTCTTGGGTGCACCAGTATCTATACTAGTATGAGCTAGTAATATTTGAAAATTATAGCTGTTTATGCCACAAATTTACATTTTTCTTGAATCAAATGCATTATCTTAGGGTTGTGGAGAATTTGAGGGGAGGAAAGAGAACAATCTTGACCATCCAACATTTTGTCCACAACACAATGTACTTGATACACGGTAGCTTATTCAGTGTAGTATCACTGTCATAAACGTCAGTTGATAATTTTTTCCAGAAGTTTTGTTTCTTCATTAGTGCTGTTTTGCCCTGGCTGAATTATTGACTGTACATCCCTGGAGTCATTTTGATTATGTAAGGAATCAAAATGGTAGAGTTTAAACACTGCAGCTTCTCTGGAGCTGAAGTTAGGAATTCCTGATGGGACACTTACAGTGTTTGTTAATGTAGTCGAGTTAAACCTATATCAATATTTACAGGAATTACATCCACCACAGGGATGATATAGATGGGTAAAGCAGATGAGGTAATTCAATACATTTTTACTATATGCAGAGCTCTGGCAGGTATGTACTTGCCTGTATATTTCCACATGGGTATTGGTCCAGAGTGTTTACTTTCCAGTGAGGACAGGCAGAAACGAGCCCTAAAGTAGAGTGAGTGCTCCAATAACATCCCAGTAACCCTGGCGTCTTGAGTGGCCACAAAAAATGTCAGAGCTGCTCATGTACTGGGAAGATTGGTGTGAAGGTAAGTATTGCATGAATAGCCATACATTAGCAGAGAGCATTGCCTCCCCTCTGTGACAATGGAGGCATTTTCTGCTGGGTTGGATAGCAATCCTGATTCAGGTCCAGGTAAAGAGCCTCTTAAAAGCCATAATTGCTGAGCAGTAAGTGGGTCATTTATTAACAATAACCGAGCTACAATTTCCTGTAATGTAGGGATTATTTCTTTACAGGATGCATTTAGGTTGTTATGTGCAAACAAAAGGTGCAAAGCTGTCATCAAGGCAAAGCGTGGCTATTTGAAGAATCTCAAATATAAAATATATTTTGATTTGTTTAACACTTTTTTGGTTACTACATGATTCCATATGTGTTATTTCATAGTTTTGATGTCTTCACTATTATTCTACAATGTAGAAAATAGTACAAATAAAGAAAAACCCTGGAATGAGTAGGTGTGTCCAAACGTTTGACTGGTACTGTACATTAAGACATAGTCACTGTTCTTTGAATATAGAATTAGAGGTGTAGCACCTTCTTTGGGTTTGTTTTTAAAACAAGTGTGTAGTGATAGTGTGTCATTAAAGGTTTGCAGTGATTCATGGGAGACTAGAGGATGTGATCCCTTTATGAGCGCTGCTGTGTCTAGCTGACTAGCCTTACATGTACAGACCACTCTAGACTGTTCTGGAATAGTCTGTGGCTTTGGCCGTGTGTATTTTGTGCAAAGTGATCACAGCAGAGGGAGAATGAATGCCAGGGATGCCATAGTCCTTATACAAGCTGACAGAGGATCCTGGGCCACTCATTCAGTGCTTACTGGTACTGGTGACTGTTTGACGTAGGTCTGGGGCAGGCAGGCATGTTGAATGTCCCGTAAATCACTGGCTGAGATCAGGGATATCACGGTGCCACTCCGGGCAGACATAGCCAATGACACAGAGGCCTCCCTGGGGTACTGTTAGCAGCAGATTCAGTCACACACTCTCTAATGCGCTAGTGTACAGCTGCTCTTTTAGTGTGTCACTGGTGCAGGACTTTTACTTGAGGAATCAGAGGGGTCTTTTTTGGGGAACAAGCCTGAGACAGATTTGAGCATCGGTTCTAAAAAAGCGTTTGAGTGAACTCTGTGCTTCTTCTTCTTCCTCCTCCACTGTCTCCTTCCCTGTGGTCCTCCAGATAGACAGACATACAGACGTCGAGTTGGGTCTGAGTGTCATTATGAGATGTCGTCTCTCAGTGCCTCCTTCGTGCAAATCAAGTTTGATGACATCCACTTCTACGAGAACTGCGGCGGCGGCAGCTTCGGTAGCGTGTACCGAGCCAGGTGGATCTCTCAGGACAAAGAGGTGGCAGTGAAAAAGCTGCTCAAGATCGAAAATGAGGTAGGAGTCGTAATTGCCAAGGCTTTTCATATACTTTTTAATTGTCGGTGTAGCAATCATTTTAATAGCTCCCCCATTTAGTGGGTTGTGGTGACTTTTGGTCCCCATCAGTCACATTCATACTCCCCATCGCTTTGTGCACAGAATTGGCACATACTGTATGCTTTAAAATAAATATTATTGCCAAATGAGAGATCATATTAGGACCAATTAAAGCATGGGTTTCTTAGTCTGGGGATTTATTTTAAGTGATGGCCTCATTGTCCTAAGACAAAAAAACACATGGGATATACCTTTTCATGCGTATTCTATTTAATCTTCAGCTTTGAGTCTTCATTTCAATACATAGTTCACTGATATCCATTGATCTTCAGGAGTTAAACATAATGCATAGTCAAGTCAAATAATTCTTAATGGAAATGCAATACAGTCCTGTTTTGCAACTCCATTTTCCACGCTGTTATGCCGTCTGTATCTTTTGTTTTCTGTGTTTTTTGTTCAGGCTGAAATCCTCAGTGTACTCAGCCATCGGAATATCATTCAGTTCTATGGGGCGATCCTTGAAGCACCCAACTATGGAATCGTCACTGGTAAGTCCATGCAACCCTTATCTTGTTAGTTTGTCATCCAATAGTAACCACAGGTATTATCTCCACAGCAATTCAGACCACGTTTATGTCCGTCACGTTAATGGAAAACCAGGAATCACCATCTGAATCATGCTTGTTTCACAGATATTTTGTTTGCTTAGAACTGAATGGTGCTGTGGTCTATATTAACAGTATTAGTAGATGGCTTTATGGTTCAGTAAGATTACATGTTGCTGGCTTTTTGTTCATGTTTCTAAAGTTCATGCCATGTGACAGTCCTCTCCATGTGGTATGGGGAACCCCTCCCTGCTCATGTTCTGAAGATCTTATCACATGACAGTCATTGGCAGACTGAACGCTCCCATGATTAGGATGTTAGCTATGACCGTTTCTCAGCCAGTGAGTGGTGAATGACACTGCTGTTGATAGGAATAGGGCAGTGCTCACTCAAGATATTTATTTACTATTGACTTGGATTTTCAACTTTCTTTTACTACTAGGAGTTCGCCTACTCTATTTCCTTCCTTAGGGGGTTTTAAGCATGCTCTACACTCTCATTTTATGGTACACTCTTGTATGCTTCAGACTTAATTCTATCTTTGTTCCCTATAACTCCTTTTTTGGGCAAGCTTAAGTCTTTGTCCTTTTGCTTGTCATCTCTTCTCACGGTCTGGCTTTACAGTGACCTAAGCAATCAGGTCATTTTGGAAGTGTTCGACCACTGCTTTTAGGATGATTTAGACAAATTACATTTAACTACATGTATTCCTTCCCATTCAATGTCTACCCACCCACACTCCCACGCTTACTCTGCCTGCTCCTGCTCTACTCTCATAGATCATGGAAGGCTGTTGTATGGAAACTTGCTGCCCTAGTTGGGAAAAACCGAAATCACATTGCATAAATATTGTGTGTGACTTCATGGATTGAGGAATTGGAAAATACCCTCATATCTTTGTAATCAATAGGAGTTGCTAGATGGAAAAAGCTGCACCTTTGATGTTCCTGCTTGCTTCCCTCTGTCTGTTTATGTCTTATAATACAGTCATATATTTGCCCTGTAGTGTAGTAGTCGTTACAAGGCAGTAATGTTAAAATCTTTCACAGAGTTCTCAGACTTGACATTTCACTCCTCCGGCCAGTGTTACGTGAGTGCGAGAGATGGGGTTGGCTGGTTGTCAAGGAGCTGCTGTCTATATTTATCAAAGCAGAATCTAATTAGCACCAGATAAAGGAAAAATGTTAATGACCGTTCTGACCATGCCATTTCCACATTCATCAGCTCTGTTATAAATTTCCCCTGTCTGCTCATCTATCAGGGACTGTTGTCTCAGCTATCTAACAAACAATATCTATCAGGTGAAGACATTTGTCTCCGCTGACCCACGTGGCAGAGAGTTTGTCAATAACTACCTACATTTACTAGGCGAAAGCTAACTTTTTTATGTCATAACAGGTTATAACATTATTCCTTTCGGTTAACTCATGCTTCATACTCACTTTGAGAGGCTAAACTGTGACTGATAGTAAAACTTTGTATGATGAAAGCAGTTCAGGAAGTTGCATTATCTATGGAATTTTCCAGTCTTGTAAAAAAGTACAAAGTACAGAGCCAAATTAGAATTTCTGCTTTGTAGTTTGAGAAAGTGAGCCTATCTTAGAGATATATTATACTGAGATGGCTCAGTATTTGTTTTCCAGTAGGCGGACCTAATCATGCAATACCATTACAATTAACAATTTTCACAGAACTTGTTTGTAGTTACAGCTTTCGTAGGTCATGACAATTCTTTTAAAAATCTACATTATAATAGGGCATAATATGGTCAGGTCAAATAATATTATTAATGACAAGTATAAGCCTGGTTCCTTCCCTCAAGGTTGATTCTTGTTTACACTATTTTATGTGGTGACATGGAAGTTTGGGTTGCGCATACATCCAACTCCCACTAGTCTAGCTGGTATCAGATAATATCAGTTTTAGCCATCTGTCTTTGTCAGGCCAGGCCACTTAATAGTTCATGGAGCGACTGGAGCGCTGTGTGTCTGTCTCTCTGTCTACCCGGTACTGAAGTGTCTCAGTGATTTAACAATGTTTATTGGCAGGGCTCGTGTGCTTTTTTAGAAGGAGGTGTTGCATTGAGTAGCAAAGCATCCAAGTCCACATAATGCTTCTATTGTTAGTGTGTTTCCCTTCACTACTGGTCTGGGAAAACAATTGCATTAGAGTAATATGATGGGCCTGCTCCTTCTTGAACATTGTATCAAAATTGTTTAAAAAGGATCGCATTAACAGTGCCATGTACCTGCCAGTATTCATTTACAGTATATGGGAACTTTGTGTGGCCATACACCTTGACTCTATTTGGATATGCAGAGGCACAGCTTGAATAATAATGACAAGAGAACTGTTAGTGCACAAGAGCGAAGGCCCCAGGTGTTTGAACAAAGTGACTTTGAGTGACTTTGATAGAGTAGGACCCCTTTCCTGCAGTCAAATGACCAAAGCGCCCTCTAGTGGCCTCATGGGCGGAATGTTATTTTTCATAATTTCTTAATGAATCAACATGTTTTATTTGTAAAAGTCGAAAATCCTGTTTTTCTATATCAAACGGTTTTGTTATATTTCAGTCTTCTGTGATGTATATAAAGTGTAATATTGGGATGCAAACTCAAAATGGAATACATTTCCAACTCTATGTCTTACATGGTACAGGTGTCTTCTTTATTGTAAGCCCATAACCATGTGTGTGAGGTGTATACTTTTGTTTCAAAGTAGATTTGTTTAAGACTACCAAGAAACACTCTGTGTGACCCTGATTTAGCCCACTGCAGTAAAAGGTTAAAGAGTATGTGGTGAAGGAACAGAGGAACAGGGACACTCAGGGTGTTTCCCCAATGCATTGTGATAAATGAGCTCATCCCGTGTAGCTCAGTTGGTAGAGCATGGCACTTGCAACGCCAGGGTTGTGGGTTCGATTCCCACGGGGGGCCAGTATGATTTTTTTTTTTATGCACTCACTAACTGTAAATCGCTCTGGATAAGAGCGTCTGCTAAATGACTAAAATGTAAAATATCTTCTGACAGGTCAATGACAGGACAGAGGACAGTACTGTAAACAAGACTTTAGCTACTGTATAAACCAAACTGTCTATTCACAAATAGAGGACATATTGTCTCACATATTTTATTAACTCATTATTTCTGAACGAGATACGGTTTGAAGTATACAGATATATTTGATATTGCACACTCTTAGAAAAAAAGGTGCTATCTAGAACCTTAAAGGATTCTTCGGCTGTCCCCATAGGAGAACCATTTAAATAACCCTTTTTGGTTGGAGGTAGAACCGTTCCCCCCTTTCTACAGAGGGTTCTACATGTAACCCAAAAGGGTTCTACCTGAAACCAAACAGGGTTCTCCTATGGGGACAGCTGAAGAACCCTTTTGGAACCCTTTTTTCTAAGAATGCAGTGCAATGTAACTGTAGATCTGGGAGTCTTAATACTGTATGTGTTTTCCCACAGAGTATGCCGGGGGAGGGTCCCTGTATGACTATCTGTCCAGTGCAGAGAGTGAGGAGATGGATCTGGGACAGGTCATGACTTGGGCCATGGAGATTGCCAAAGGTACAGTCATGATTCATTGTCTGATCTACTTGAAACCAGGCAATGCTACATGTTGTTTTGGAATTTTTGCATAGCCATTTGACTTAACTAAACCACTCACTGATATTCCACATTTGTTTTAGCTCATTACCAATTTAGCAATAGAATATATTTCAGATTTGTCCACTTATGGTCTTTTCCAACTCATTGTTATTCGAGGCATATTTTTTAAAGAATTTGGTCTCACTGAGAATAAGTGAAGTCAAAACATGTAGGCCTAAATGTGATTGATCTGTGTCCTTAGTTTGCATAAGAAATGAGCATTGAGAGGGAGGCATGGAGGAGAGCACAGACGAACACAGACTTGTTTACCTCTGCTGGTTGCACATTGATCTCAGTCAGAGGAAATGTGCTTTATTTCCCCATTAGGCATGCACTATTTACACTCAGAGGCCCCGGTCAAGGTTATCCACAGGGACCTGAAGTCCAGGAATGGTAAGGTTTAAGATCCATCTGCATGATCTCTGTGTCTGTTTCAGTCTATACAGAATATACCTCTGATCAAACTGATTATGTCTATAACCAGAGGCAAATATTACCTAAGCTGAATTAAAAGAAAACTAAAAATACATATTCTCCTAACTTGAAAAATATGTTTTCTATTGCAGTGGTTGTGACGGCAGACAAAGTTCTTAAGGTACATTTGTTTGCACATACATGGGATCTTACGTTTGCATACTGGCTTCACCCAAAACGGTTTTATCCCCAACCCTTGCTAAATCCTGGGACCACCTGTTTCCCCCCTGTGTAGATCTGTGATTTTGGGGCATCCCGGTTCCACTCCCACACCACACATATGTCCCTGGTGGGCACATTCCCCTGGATGGCCCCGGAAGTCATCCAGAGCCTGCCCGTGTCTGAGACCTGTGACACCTACTCCTACGGCGTGGTAAGTGACCAACACAAAGGACACACACTGACCACAGATCAGCTGTTGATATTCAATACAATAGTTACTTAGAAAAGGCTATTTTTATTCTCAAACTGATTATGCAAGACAATCTGCATATGTATTGACTCATACGTGGACTTTTATTTACAGTAGTATACTGTAATTTAACTACAGAAACCATCAGAGGAGATTTAGGGACTGAACCAGCTTGGTAAGGAACTTGCTTAGTTTGTAGAGGAAGCCAAATAACAAGTATGGTTAAGAAATAGCTCTAATGTCACTGTTGCAACTTCATGGCCAAGAGAGTAAACTGTCAATCAAACAGTACCTAGCACTTGAAAGAACAGACTTTACAGAGATGACATTTTCATGCCTGCATTACATCCACTGGAAAAGTAGACGCAAGTGGCATTATTGACCTTTGTAGAAGTGCTAACAGCAACTCCATAAGTTTTCTGCCACATTCCTATCATCATCAGAAGATGGAATCTGTCATCCCTAAGTAGAGAGAGATTATGAAGCCTTGGCATATGTTAGTGTGTGTGGGTGTGTTTGTGTGCGTGCGTGCGTGTGTGTGACTGCGCATGGCTTTGCGTGGTTGTGTGTGTGAACAGAAAGTATTCATACCCCTTGACTTATTCCACATTTTGTTGTGTTTCAGCCTGACTTCAAAATTGATTAAATGTTACACACAATACCCCATAATGACAAAGTGAAAACATGTTTTTAGAAATTTTGGCAAATTTATTGAAAATGAAATACAGAAATATCTAATTTGCATAAGTATTTACACCCCTGAGTCAATACTTTGTAGAAGCACCTTTGGCGGCGATTACAGCTGTGAGTCTTTTTGGGTAAGTATCTAAGAGCTTTGCACACCTGGATTGTACAATATTTGCCCATTATTCTTTCAAAAAGTATTCCGGTTCTGTCAAGTTGATTGTGGATCATTGCTAGACAGCCATTTTCAAGACTTGCCATAGATTTTCAAGACGATTTAAGTCAAAACTGTAACTAGGCCACTCAAGAACAATCAATGTCATCTTGGTAAGCAACTCCAGTGTAGATTTGGTCTTGTGTTTTAGGTTATTGTCCTGCTGAAAGGTGAATTCGTGTCCCAGTGTCTGGTAGAAAGCAGACTGAACCAGATTTTCCTCTAGGATTTTGCCTGTTCTTATAGCTGTATTCTGTTTCTTTTTATCAAAAAAAACCTCACTAGTCCTTGCCGATGACAAACATGTCCATAGCATGATGCGGCCACCACCATGCTTGAAAATATGGAGAGGGGTACTCAGTGATGTGTTGTATTGGGTTTGCCCCAAACATAACGCTTTGTATTCAGGACATTTTAAGTGCCTTGTTGCAAACAGGATGCATGTTTTGGAATATTTCTATTCTGTACAGGCTTCCTTCTTTTTACTCTGTTATTTAGGTCAGTATTGTGGAGTAACTACAATGTTGTTGATCCATCCTCAATTTTCTCATATCACAACCATTAGATTCTGTAACTGTTTTAATATCACCATTGGCCTCATGGTGAAATCCCTAAACAGTTTCCTTCCTCTCCGGCAACTGAGTTAGGAAGGACGTCTGTATCTTTGTAGTGACTAGGTGTATTGATACACCATCCAAAGCCGAATAAATAACTTCACCATGCTCAAAGGGATATTTAGCGTCTGATTTTTTTTACACATCTACCAATCGGTGCCCTTCTTTGTGAGGCATTGAAAAACCTCCCTGGTCTTTGTGGTTGAATCTGTGCTTGAAATTCACTCCTCGATTAAGTGACCTTACAGATAATTGTATGTGTGAGGTACAGAGATGAGGTAGTCATTAAAAAATAATGTTAAACACTATTATTAAACATGGAATAAGTCCATGCAACTTATTATAAGATTTGTTAAGCACATTTTTACTCCTGAACTTATTTAGGCTTGCCATAACAAAGGGGTTGAATACTTAGTGGCTCAAGACATTTCAACTTTACATTTTTTTTCTTCTAAAATGTTCTACAAACAAAATTCCACTTAGACATTATGGGATATTATGTGTATAGTAGTGACACAAAATCTCAATGTAATCAATTCTAAATTCAGGCTGTAACACAACAAAATGTGGAAAAAGTAAAGGGGTGTGAATACTTTCTGAAGGCTCTGTATCTGCCAGCCTGTGTGTATGGCTGCTCGGCCACATTCCTGCATGGTGACGGAGAAGGTGTGAAGTGTAGAGTGACAGAGCATATGGGGCACGCTCTGTGTCACCCAGCCAGCCAAGGGCCTAACTCCTGAGTGCCATAAACAGTCAGTGTACAAACAGAGCAGGACCTGGGTTCAGGCCAGCTAGTGTCTGGGTCAACAGACTGTTCTCTATCACAATCCACCTGGCTTTCACTTACACTAGGGTTTATTTACATAGTGAACAATGATATTTACTAGTCTTATAAATGTGTTTTTTATGGGTTTAGTGATGTGTATAATTAGCATTTTCAATCAAGCACTCCATTTCATATCATACAAGGTTTTTGTTCTCCTAATATAGTATCTAATCTTAGTCTGTATTGTATCTCAGTTCAGTGGAAGACCCTGAGCAGACCATGTAGTCTGTGGGCTAGATGCATTATGCTCGTTGACTGACCATGACGTCTCTCCCTGTGTCAGGTTCTGTGGGAGATGCTCACCCGGGAGATTCCCTTTAAAGGCCTGGAGGGCTTACAAGTCGCCTGGCTGGTGGTGGAGAAGAGTGAGGTACAGCTACACTTGTTTTTTCCCTTTTACTCGTTATGCAGTCTTCTAGGAACAGCTGCCGCTTCCTTTATCTATGCTAATGATTTTGTGAAGAGACACATACCTGACAGTTTTTCGTAATGAGCCAGTGTATCTGTACAGGAATAATTTCAGTCATCACACACCAGCATAGCTAGTAGGGAGATCGTCATATGGGCCGAAGCCAATTGATCCCACTCGTGCAATGTCTGCATTCACAGTCTCCAGTCACATAAGTCATCAGTATATTTTACCTGCCTCCTGACATGAATGCTCTACTAATATCCTGACCTCAGAACTGAAAGCTGAAACTACTGCAATCCTTTCAGGGAAACGGGAAGAGTGAGTGTGTGTGTGACTGTGACCCTGTCTGTCTGTTCCAGAGATTAACCATTCCCAGTAGCTGCCCAGCTAGTTTCGCTGAGCTGATGAGGAAGTGCTGGGTGACTGAGCCCAAGGTACCACATCCTCACACACACAGATCATTTTAAATGACATATGTAATTCTATGCTCACGCATACCTACACACTGTGCCACTGTGCACAATAGACTCGGCACTACAATGGATAATACTAATGATTAATGTTATGTTACATACGGTTAAGAGACCAGTCGAATTGTCATGAATAGATACCCTGCATGTCTGCTTATGAATATCACACTATGCTATGTTTTTCGTTTCCATCTAGGAAAGACCAATGTTCAAACATATCCTTACAACCCTGGAGTCCATGTCCAATGACAGCAAGCTTCCTGAACAGTGCAACTCCTTCCTACACAACAAGGCAGAATGGAGGTACTGAGATCATACTGTATCAGACTGCATCCTCTCTATCTCTTCTAGACAAACACACTGCTAGAGCATAAGGAGATGCCAGAAATGTTTCAAATATGCCTATCTACACTGAGTGATCAAAGCATTAGGAACACCTTCCTAATATTGAGTTGCACCCACTTTTGCCCTCAGAACAGCCTCAATTCGTCGGGGCATGGACTCTACAAGGTGTCGAAAGCGTTCCAAAGGGATGCTGGCCCATGCTGACTTCAATGCTTCCCACAGTTGTGTCAAGTTGGCTGGATGTCCTTTGGGTGGTGGACCATTCTTGATACACACGGGAAACTCTTGAGCGTGAAAAACCGGTGCGCCTGGCACCTACTACCATACCCCGTTCAAAGACACTTCAATCTTTTGTCTTGCCCATTCACCCTCTAAATGGCACACATACACAATCCATGTCTCAAGGTTTAAAAATCCTTCTTTAACCTGTCTCCTCCCGTTCATCTACACTGATTGAAGTGGATTTAACAAGTGACATCAATAAGGGATCATAGCTTTCACATGGATTCACCTGGTCAGTCTATGTCATGGAAAGAGCAGGTGTTCCTAATGTTTTGTACACTCAGTGTATGTGCAAGTGCTGCTTTTGTGGGCCTGAAGGGACTTTGGAGTGTGCATATAGATATTTTATAATTGCACTGATAACATAAAGGCATCAAATATCTAAAGAATCCCCCATCTGGATATTCTTCCTCTCTATACCCATAAGGTCTATAAAATAATCAACGTCTTTTTCAAGTCCAAGTGTTTAATTGGCCTGTATGAGCAGCTGGAGGATTAGTGGTGTTCAGCACAGCATGGGTGTCAGCTGCTACTGCTTACTCTCTCTTTGGGCTTTTCTACGCTGACAACTCTTCATAGAGGCATGTCCAAGCAGGCATCTGCAGGTGAACTGCTCAATAACGAGAGTTGATAAAGAACATGTGTGATAGAAAGAGGGAAGTGTTGCACATCAAGCACGGTGGTAGCTAGCTTCCAAGGCTGTCTATCATCATTGTGAGAAACAGGAGAAGAGTGGAGTGGTACGGCCTGAGCTCCTCTTGCTTCAGAGGCAAACAGGTGTTGCAGGTGCATTGTGTTATTAGGGAGGCCCTGTGCAGACAGATGCTATGTGCTGGTTGGGCTGGACCACTACAGTTTGGGTTATACACAGACAGATCTCCTGGGTACTATGTAACAGTCTGCCAGGCCAGCAGCTGTATATTTATCCATGTTTCTACTACTAGGTAATATGCCACTGTCCCACTGATGAAGGCTCAATGGTTATGTGAGAAAGTTCTACATTAATGTGGATGCTACCATGATAACGGATAGTCCTGAATGAATCGTAAATAGTGATGAGTGAGAAAGTTACAGACACACAAATATCATAACCCCAAGACATACTAACCTCTCACCATTACAATAACAGGGGAGGTTAGCATTTTTGTTTGGGGGGGTATGATATTTGTGCGTCTGTAAGTTTCTCAGTCATCATTATTCATGATTAATTCAGGACTATCCGTAATCATGGTAGCATCCACATTAATGTAGAAGTGTTTAGAAACATATTCTATTCTTATTTATGATAAAAGTCAATTATTTAAAACACAACCAAAACCAACAGAAAATTCATCCAACAAGTTTGTAGAGTCACAAGCTTGGTGTAATGATTGCATGCTAAGAATATGGGACCAAATACAAAACTTTTGACTATTTTAATATACATATAACTGAATTTGTCCCAATACTTTTGGTCCCCTAAAATAGGGGGACTATGTACAGAAAGTGCTGTAATTTCTAAACGGTTCACCCGATATGGATGAAAATACCCTCAAATTAAGGCTGAAGGACACCTCATAGTCATTGTATCATTTAAAGTACAGAGCCAAAAGAAGAAAAAAGGCTTCACTGTCCCACTTGCCTTGCCACCGTGATATATACAGTGGGGGAAAAAAGTATTTAGTCAGCCACCAATTGTGCAAGTTCTCCCACTTAAAAAGATGAGAGAGGCCTGTGATTTTCATCATAGGTACACGTCAACTATGACAGACAAAATGAGAAAAGAAAATCCAGAAAATCACATTGTAGGATTTTAAATGAATTTATTTGCAAATTATGGTGGAAAATAAGTATTTGGTTAATAACAAAAGTTTCTCAATACTTTGTTATATACCCTTTGTTGGCAATGACACAGGTCAATTGTTTTCTGTAAGTCTTCACAAGGTTTTCACACACTGTTGCTGGTATTTTGGCCCATTCCTCCATGCAGATCTCCCCTAGAGCAGTGATGTTTTGGGGCTGTCGCTGGGCAACACAGACTTTCAACTCCCTCCAAAGATTTTCTATGGGGTTGAGATCTGGAGACTGGCTAGGCCACTCCAGGACCTTGAAATGCTTCTTACGAAGCCACTCCTTCGTTGCCCGGGCGGTGTGTTTGGGATCATTGTCATGCTGAAAGACCCAGCCACGTTTCATCTTCAATGCCCTTGCTGATGGAAGGAGGTTTTCACTCAAAATCTCACGATACATGGCCCCATTCATTCTTTCCTTTACACGGATCAGTCGTCCTGGTCCCTTTGCAGAAAAACAGCCCCAAAGCATGATGTTTCCACCCCCATGCTTCACAGTAGGTATGGTGTTCTTTGGATGCAACTCAGCATTCTTTGTCCTCCAAACACGACGAGTTGAGTTTTTACCAAAAAGTTATATTTTGGTTTCATCTGACCATATGACATTCTCCCAATCCTCTTCTGGATCATCCAAATGCACTCTAGCAAACTTCAGACGGGCCTGGACATGTACTGGCTTAAGCAGGGGGACACGTCTGGCACTGCAGGATTTGAGTCCCTGGCGGCGTAGTGTGTTACTGATGGTAGGCTTTGTTACTTTGGTCCCAGCTCTCTGCAGGTCATTCACTAGGTCCCCCCGTGTGGTTCTGGGATTTTTGCTCACCGTTCTTGTGATCATTTTGACCCCACGGGGTGAGATCTTGCGTGGAGCCCCAGATCGAGGGAGATTATCAGTGGTCTTGTATGTCTTCCATTTCCTAATAATTGCTCCCACAGTTGATTTCTTCAAACCAAGCTGCTTACCTATTGCAGATTCAGTCTTCCCAGCCTGGTGCAGGTCTACAATTTTGTTTCTGGTGTCCTTTGACAGCTCTTTGGTCTTGGCCATAGTGGAGTTTGGAGTGTGACTGTTTGAGGTTGTGGACAGGTGTCGTTTATACTGATGACAAGTTCAAACAGGTGCCATTAATACAGGTAACGAGTGGAGGACAGAGGAGCCTCTTAAAGAAGAAGTTACAGGTCTGTGAGAGCCAGAAATCTTGCTTGTTTGTAGGTGACCAAATACTTATTTTCCACCATAATTTGCAAATAAATTCATAAAAAATCCTACAATGTGATTTTCTGGAGAAAAAAAATCTCAATTTGTCTGTCATAGTTGACGTGTACCTATGATGAAAATTACAGGCCTCTCTCATCTTTTTAAGTGGGAGAACTTGCACAATTGGTGGCTGACTAAATATATTTTTTCCCCCACTGTAGGCCTAAAGGCCGAGACAATAAGAAGACACAGTGGCAGAATAAATTCAACCACACCTTTGTTTCATCACAAACCTGAGAGCAACCTCTGTCCGGTGAAGTCCACACAGCATATTGCATGTAACAAACAGTTACATGACCTACAGCATGGTCAAGCAAGTTAATGTTTCAGACATTTTCGGACTACTAAACAACTATTGATTTAGAACCACGGGGGAGTTACCGCAAGTCGCAAAGAAAACAGGAGCTGCCCCCACTATTCCGGCACCATTTCAACTTCAACAATTAAACATAATCAAATCACCTATGCTTGGTCTAAAACAGTGACAACTAAAAGATACCAAAAATAATTTAAAGCTAAATATGATGTGGCTGTCCATGGTACTGATTTCTGTGTGTGTGTGCGCATGCGCGTGCGTCAGTGCAAGTAGAAAAAAACATGTTTACTCACCCTACTTGTAGAGAAACGGCAAAGACATCCTCCTCTCTTTCATGTTGACGAAACGGTCTGAATAGTCTGAAAAGTTCATGAATAAAAGTTTTTAGGAGTGATCCATGCTCAATCAAGCACAATCATTAGGTGAGACCAAAATGTTCAGCTGCCCCTTTAAGGGATGGGCCATTACCATGGTAACTTGGGCACTCACTTGTCTGTGATGAAAAAAATCCCTGACTGTGATGTCTTCCTAGCAGCAGACAGTTGCAACAAACTCAAACTAACATTGAAAAACAACCTAGCGTGTATACAAAACGAAAGACGAGGCCAAAGTCACACTTTAGTAGCCTTTCTTGTCAATTCGACCAACTTCTACAGGTGGCGTTTGGATAAAAAAAAACAGTTCCCAAATGCTCTGTGTGACAGCCTTTGTGTGTGACCACCCGCCAACGTGGCTGGTGAAACAGACATTCTTACCCGCCAATGACAAAATCTACCCGCATTTGGCAGGTGTTAATTTCCAACCCTGTTTGCATAGCTCCTGTTGTAGGCTATATTAGATCTGGCATGGTGGTACAGTATGTTACTGTTAGTCCACTGAACAGTGTCTTTCCGTCTCTTTAGGCTATCAATGCACTCATTTGTGTAAATGTGACAGTCAAAAGTTGCTCACAGTTCTGTAACGATGGCTCAGAGGGCTCTTGTTGCAGTCTATTAAGGCAGTTTGGACATAGTCCAGGACAGCATGAAGATACTCCTCTTTTCCCTGTTTCTCTGGCAGCTGTCTGGATCAGAGATGACGAGCAGACAGGGGGAATTAGTTGGGGAGGGAAAGAAAGTGCGAGTTAGAGTGCAGGGGGAGGGAATGTGAGAGGTATTTGTTTTTAAATGGTATAACCCTTACTGAAAAAACCCATTTGCACATTTTTTGGAGCACTTCACATGTGATGATACACTATATATGCAAAAGTATGTGGACACCCCTTCAAATTAGTGGATTCGGCTATTTCAGCCACACCCATTGCTGACAGGTGTATCCAATCGAGCACACAGCCATGCAATCTCCATAGACAAACATTGGCAGTCAAATGGCCTTACTGAAGAGCTCAGTGACTTTCAACGTGGCACTGTCAGAGGATGCCACCTTTCCAACAAGTCAGTTCGTCAAATCTCTGCCATGCTAGAGCTGCCCCGGTCAACTGTAAGTGCTGTTATTGTGAAGTGGAAATGTCTAGGAGCAGCCAATGTCTCAGCCGCGAAGTGGTAGGCCACACAAGCTCACAGAACGGGACCGCCGAGTGCTGAAGCGCGTAGCACATAAAAATTGTCTGTCCTCGGTTGCAACACTCACGACCGAGTTCCAAACTGCCTCTGGAAGCAACGTCAGCACAAGAACTGTTTGTCGGGAGCTTCATGAAATGGGTTTCCATGGCTGAGCAGCCGCACACAAGCCTAAGATCGCCATGCACAATGCCAAGCGTCGGCTGGAGTGGTGTGAAGCTCGCCGCCACTGGACTCTGGAGCAGTGGAAACACGTTCTCTGCAGTGATGAATCACGCTTCACCATCTGGAAGTCCGATGGACAAATCTGGTTTTGGCGGATGCCAGGAGAACGCTACCTGCCAGAATGCATAGTGTTTTTCGTGGTTCGGACTAGGCCTCTTAGTTCCAGTGAAGGGAAATCTTAACGCTACAGCATACAATGACATTCTAGATGATTCTGTGCTTCCAACTTTGTGGCAACAGTTTGGGGAAGACCCTTTCCTGTTTCAGCATGACAATGCCCCCATGCACAAAGCAAGGTCCATACAGAAATGGTTTGTCGAGATTGGTGTGGAAGAACTTGACTGGCCTGCACAGAGCTCTGACCTCAACCCCATCTAACACCTTTGGGATGAATTGGAATGCTGACTGCGAGCAAGGCCTAATCGCCCAACATCAGTGCCCGACCTCACTAATGCTCTTGTGGCTGAATGGAAGCAAGTCCCCACAGCAATGTTCCAACATCTAGTGGAAAGCCTTCCCAGAAGAGTGGAGGCTGTTAGAGCAGCAAAGAGGGACCAACTCTATATTAATGCCCATGATCTTGGAATGAGATGTTCGACGAGCAGGTGTCCACATACTTTTGGTAATGTAAGCCTCGAGTCTTCTTAGGTATGACGCTACAAGCTTGGCACACCTGTATTTGGGGAGTTTCTCCCATTCTTCTCTGCACATCCTCTGAAGCTCTGTCAGGTTGGATGGGGAGCGTTGCTGCGTAGCTATTTTCAGGTCTCTCCAGAGATGTTCGATCGGGTTCAAGTCCGGGCTCTGGCTGGGCCACTCAAGGACATTCAGAGACCTGTCCCGAAGCCACTCCTGCGTTGTCTTGGCTGGGTGCTTAGGGTTGTTGTCTTGTGGGAAGGTGAACCTTCGCCACAGTCTGAGGTCCTGAGCGCTCTGGAGCATGTTTTCATCAAGGATCTCTCTGTACTTTGCTCCGTTCATCTTTCCCTCGGTCCTGACTAGTCTCCCAATCCCTGCCGCTGAAAAACATCCCCACAACATGATGCTGCCACCACCATGCTTCACCGTAGGGATGGTGTCGGTTTCCTCCAGACGTGACGCTTGGCATTCAGGCCAAAGAGTTCAATCTTGGTTTCATCAGACAAGATAATTTTGTTTTTCATGGTCTGAGTCCTTTAGGTGCCTTTTGGCAAACTCCAAGCAGGCTGTCATGTGTATTTTACTGAGGAGTTGCTTCCGTCTGGCCACTCTACCATAAAGGCCTGATTGGTGGAGTGCTGCAGAGATGGTTGTCCTTCTTGGAAGGTTCTCCCATCTCCACAGAGGAACTCTGGAGCTCTGTCAGAGTGACCATTGGTTTCTTGGTCACCTCCCTGACCAAGGCCCTTCTCCCCCGATTGGTCAATTTGTCCGGGCAGCCAGCTCTAGGAAGGGTCTTGGTGGTTTCAAACTTCTTCTATTTAAGGATGATGGAGGCCACTGTGTTCTTGCGGACCTTCAATGCTGCAGACATTTTTTGGTACCCTTCCCAAGATCTGTGCCTCGACACAATCCTGTCTCGGAGATCTACGGACATTTCCTTCGACCTCATGGCTTGGTTTTTGCTCTGACATGCACTGTCATCTGTGGGATCTTATATAGACAGATGTGTGCCTTTCCATATCATGTCCAATTAATTGAATTTACCACAGGTGGAGTCCCATCCAGCTTCCATTGAACATCTCAAGGATGATCAATGGAAGCAGGATGCACCTGAGCTCAATTTTGAGTCTCATAGCAAATGGTCTGAATATTTATGTAAATAAGGTATTTCTGTTTTTTCTAAAAACCTGTTTTAGCTTTGTCATTATGAGGTATTGTGTGTAGATTGATGAAGATTTTATTTTATTTAATCCATTTTAGAATAAGGCTGTAACGTTAAAAAAAGGTGCAAAAAGTCAAGGGGTCTGAATACTTTCCGAATTGAATTTGCACTTTCACATGTAATAAAACTTGTACTTTCATGATGTCACATGTAAAAAAAAAAACATCCCCATGTTGTCACATTTATTTCACGAGATCATGTTTTCACATGCGTAGTGTCATGTTATCACATGTTGGTTTTACATGTTGTCACGTTATCACATTAACTTCACATGAGATCACTTGTGATCACATGAGATCTCATTTTATTACATGTGGAAATCTCATTTTATTACATGTGAAACGTGATCACATGTGAAATTCATGTGGTTTTTCCATAAGGGAACAGCAGGGTAGGAGGACGAGAAATACCAAGAGTGTTTGTCAGGAAAGCGACAAGCAAGAATATCAATTATGAGGAAAGTTTCGAGCATTAGTGGAAAGTCTTTGAGGTAGGGATGGGAGGAGGGACAGGAGGAATGGGAGGGTGTAGGAACGGGCGGGAGTTCCTGTCTGCATCACATGCCTGACATTGCCTGTTTATAAATAGTTACTGTGGGAGCAGATTGTCTTGGCGTCTGACAGCATGGGTACCCGTGTTGTGCCTCACAGCCCCACCTGCTGGGCAAAGCAGACCAGACCACTCTCAGTGGCTGAAACCCATTAACAAAGACACTGGAATATAAGTGTTCCTCTACCGTCTGTGGCCTTAGGGCTGTCGCTAAAAAGGCAGAATCCAAACTTGAGAAATACATTCATAACTCCAAACTTTTGTGTATAATGCATTGATGTCAATGAGAGTCGAAATTTGAGTTTAGCACAAGTATCTCAAGTCAATGGTTTGACACCAGTATTGTAAGTGCAGAGTTGGATGTGATGAGGTGGATGATGCTTGATTCTAAACACATCTCAATGCTGTCTGTACTGTAGATGTGAGATTGAGGCCACACTGGAGAGGCTGAAGAAGTTGGAGAGGGATCTGAGCACCAAAGAGCAGGAACTGAAGGAGAGAGAACGTCGCCTGAAGATGTGGGAGCGCAAGCTCATCGAGCAGTCCAACACCCCAGTAAGTTCCTCAGTAGCCTATACCCACCTGCACACCACACCACCAACACCCTCAGCACAACCACAACTACCACACACTGTGTCTAGTCACTGAACATGAACAGCACCCCAGCTTAGCACCACCTTCACCGTGTTGGTCCATGTGTCACAGTCCACAGTCCTGTCCACATTGTCACAAGGAGAAGCAAAGGCTTCAGACTGGGGTCTGTCTGGAATGAAGGGGAATGGAATTAAATGCAATGCAATGGAGGGAAATATATAAGGCTCTGGTTCACTGAGTCTCACTGATGGGCATTTGAGTTGAGGAGAGGTATTAGCTCATCATGGTACTCTGTGTGTGACTATGTCACTGAACCCCCATTGGCCATCAGTCATAATTAGAGGTCAGTGTAATTGCAACGTTGGTAATGCCAATGTTGTCACGCTGATATGGGAGTCTTTGCTGCTTGTGTGGATGTGCCTGTACTACCCTTTCTATGTGCTGTTTCCAAAGCGACGCCCCGCTAGGTCTTGGCCACCTGTTTCTGTAATTGCTTGTGCATGATTTGATTTAATTTGATTTAACACATCTAACCTGAATATTACCTTTCTAGTTGGTTTTATTGGTTGGATTTGGTTTCCAAACTTCCACATCACTAATATGTTCTATACTAGATTATTTGTTTTGTCCGTTGTGCTGTGTAATTGCATGCTACAGCCATGCATTGGGATTGTCTTACAGTGCTTTGCCTTGGTATCAATTTGACATTAGTTGAAATTGATACACGCACTGATGTAGTGTGTAAGAATCAGTACCATCATCCTGAGCTCTCCAATTGTCAGGAAAGTCAATACCTCTTTATTCGTTGTTTTCTCCGTATCTCCTACCTTCATCTGTCCTGTAGACTCCAATCATTTCAGTCCAACCTTCTCTGATAATCCAATTTACTGTATCTCTGAACTCTCCTCTTCTAGTTTTTGACAATCACCTTTTATATTGGGTAAAAAATGATTTCACATTTCATCATTCCTCTTGGTGTATGTAGTCTAATTTCCTTCCCTCCTTTTCTTTCCCGACCTCTTCTTCCCTTCCTATCCTCTCTCCCCCATCTTTCCCTCTCAGTTGTTCTTACCTGTGGCGGCAAAGATTAGCGCCGAGTCGTTCTATGAGTCTAAGATGGAGGAGTCAAAAAGTTCTGAGATGTCATGTCAGATCACATCCTCCAGTAACGGGGAGGTGGACGGGATGAGTCTGCAGGCCATGATGAAGGGCTTTGGGGACATGTTTGCCTTGGACATGGGGAGCCCCGTCCTGCACTCTGGCATGCAGGTCAACATGCAGGCCAAGCAGAACTCTTCCAAGTCCAGCAGTGTCAGAGAGGGCCGCAAAATCAACATGGCCTTGGGGATGTCAAACTTCAACTGGTCAGACGACAGTGATTAGAGCGACCTGATTGGTCCAGCTATGTATGGGCCACTCAGTAGCATCTGTCAATCAATCCCTTCGGCCTGTGTCGAAACTGTGGTCTTGCTGCAAGTTCCCATGCATATTCCTTCTCACATCACTGGTGTTATGGACACAAGCTTCGAACATTAGATCATTCATTACGAATAGTTTTTTGCATGGCTGTTTTATTTTGTAACAATCCATTTTCTTTTGCACACATTCTTTTTAAAATGCTGTATGAACATAATGTATTAGAAACCTTTCGCCTACATGGCCCTTATGGATGTCATAAAAGCCTAATGTACTGTATAGTGCCATGCTGTGAAGAAAGAGCCATGTGAGCAAGTTGCATGGAGGAGGCGAAGCTTTTATGATGAAGTGACATTTCGCTGACATTAATAGTGGCCAATTTGTTCTGTATGTGGTGGAGCATAGTTGCTGTGATTAAGTCTCTCACCAGGATGAGAAAGAACAAGTTTCCCTCAGCTGACCCAGACTGGAGTCAGCAGAAGAGAGAGAACGTTTCCTGATAGCCCTGTTAAACTACAGACTTCCTGTGCCTTTTTCTGTATACACTGTCAGGAATCTTTGGATTTCAAGCCGCCATACTATGGCTTATTGGTGTAAAGTGCACAGTAGGTGTTTGTATCTATCTGCGAGGGCCCCAGTAAAGTCTTGGTTCATGTGCTGGTTGACAGAAGCATGTTACAGATACATATAATCAAGATGTTTATTAGGAGTGCCATAGACCTTAGACTACCACTCCTTGACAGGACGAAGTTCTCATAGACAAGGGCAACTATATAGGACCTTAATTCAATTAACTCAATCTTATTCACTGGTAAAAGCTCTACTGTGTGCTATAATAATTTATTTAAATCAAATGATATATGAAGTAAAAACAGTATTTAATTGCAGAGAGTATATGAAATACTCTTTAGAGGGCTTCTCTAAGCTAAAGATTATTTATCAGCTAAACATGTTTGCACCTGCACCAACAGTTTTGACCTTTTTTGACCACAGGCCAAAGTGTGTTTAACAACCCCCAAAGTGAGCCTATTGAAGCTCAACTAACGAGTGCCATCACCAAATGCCCTGTAAATCCTGCTGGGAGCTCTTCTCTTCTGAACATAGCCAATATGGAGGATCTTTCTGTCTGACTCCAAAGAGCTTGGGCCTAGGCCCTGCAGCTTTCATTTCCTTCTACTTAGTTGATGTATGTTTTTATATACTGTTGTGTAGTTATTAAACCTAGTCTGAAACACATCCATTAACAGACAATAACCAACCAATACACTACCTTGTGTGAATGTCAACCACTTTGTAAGGTATTTTCTAGACATCTAATGCCCAGAGTTGCAATATGATCTATGCAAACTACAGCACCTTGGATTAGTCAAATTCCTTGGATTAGTCCAATAGTGTCTCTTTAATGGTGTGCCATAACTCTATTAGACAGACCACTTTTCGATGTGAACCTATTTTGCTGCAAAATTTCTCTACTGTTCCTTGTTTCTCAATAAACATTTTCTCATTAAACATTGAACTTCCTGCTTTGGTTCTTCACTCTTCCTGTTTTCTCAAATTTCCTCTTGGTTTACCCAGTTTTGTTTACCTTGAATTAGGAAAGAGCCATATAAGTAACATGCATTGAGGAGGCGAAGCTTTTATGAGGAAGTGACATTTCGCTGACATTAAGAGTGGCCAAAATCGAACAACTAATTCAATAATGTTACAATAATGTAACAAATCAAAGGTTGTTAACTACAAAATTCCAAAAGTGGCAAGAAAATAAGAGTGAAACAATTCATGCCAGGAGAAGATTAAGCAAATGTGACTGTACTAACTTCAGATGAAAAGGTCTGTAATAAAAAAAAATTGTACATGTAAGACCTGAAATCATTCTCGTATTACATTAATTTATTTGCATTAGACCCATGTTCACTGTAGTCCTCAAGGCTTCAAATAAACATATAATCAATGGCAGGATTTCTATAACGAACTAATGAACAAGTGGTACGGGGCACTACTCATACTTGGTGCAGCACACCCATTTGTATTGTATATGTTACACTTACTGACAATGCCTGCTTAATTGCCCCTGCGGGGATTGACAGTCATATTGAATTGAATTTGTGGTGTAGCCACTAGCGTACTAGCCAATAGGTTTCCAATGCTTGTCCGCCTCTATAGTATAATCAACTTGCTACAGTATACTCCCATTCCACAAGGGGGCAGAGTGGTGTGAACTACTGAACTCCTCTTCCCTGTCAAAGGAATTCCAAAGGCTGAGCAATTTCTGCTGACTTCCCCCTTCCCCTCCTCTCATCAATTAAGATCTGTTTCCCTTTGTCAACAGTATGCTTTGGATTTTAATAAAGGATGCAAGTCATTTGTGAAATACAATATGGCTGCTCGAAATGTGATATTATGTCACTTTAATTAGGCAATATCTGTAATGGAACTTTGGCAGTAGGGTAAGGGGGTTGTTTTTGAATGTGTTTACTTCCGAACCATACCACTGCAGTAGACGGAAAATGCAGCTGGGGGTGAGGGAGTTTAGAAGGCTGCAAAGAATTGTATCGCGCTGATTCTGAAATGGCCCTCTTTGAATATGATCTGTCGAGATTGCCATTCAGCTCAGACTGAGCTGTTATCAGATGCCGTGGGAAGCAAATATTGAATGCTTAGATTAGTCATTCATTTAGTCATCTATCCCTCAATTCCCCCGGTGCATTGTTTCTATCACCACATAGCAGCCTCATGATCAGAATGATGAAATCTTTATTTTAGCTGGCTACTTTCTGCTTTATTACACTTAATGAACAGTCAATTATTCATCATTGAAATGCATCATGAAAGACCAGTCAGATGGACATTGGACACATTTTAGTTTGAGGTAGGCCATTAGGACGCAGTCATCTTGATTGCAGAACACAATAGCTGCAAAAATCATTGCTATAATGCATGGTAAACTTGTCTTGGAATGATGTAGGCCTATATGTAATGTATTTTGTAATGCATACTGCACACATGAATGCTAAATGCAAGATTTGTGTTAAGAGTCCAAACATCAAGAATAGGCAGCACATTTCTTTATTTGAGCTGTACACATTTGTATGACATGACCATTAGAGCAGTATTCCCTGGTACTATTTCAGTTTTGTCTTTTTTTCACACAGCTCCTTTCCAACCTTCATATTCATTCCTGGACAGAGGAACATGTGGTCAGTATCAACAAATATCAATCGATTACTTCCTTTGTCTAATTAGCCATTAATAACCATCATGGCTCCACCTGAATGGCTCCATCTTAATATGAATGCTTTTGCAATTCCATCCCCACAGTACTTTTGGATGCAGCAGATATTTGGGGCAGGTATGTTCACCTTATAGATTTCTCATACTGTAGGTATGATCAAATGAATGAACCCATCATTTTGGCGTGTATGTGTTGTGTTTTAATTAGCATTTGTTTTCCATGTTCTCAGGGGAGGGGGCAAGTGGCATGCAGCTGTATGGTGACCTGTTTAAGGAAAACCACATTACAGGCAAGAGGCTGCTGCTGCTCACGGAAACAGACATGCGAGACCTTGGGGGTCAAGTCCAAAGGTCACATCATGCACCTCAAGGTATCATACTACCTTTCAAACTATCGTGAACTAGCCAGTCATTTCACAATGTGTCCAAATGGTATCATTATTTAAATTGAGCTATATACTCATACAAATGATTTTGAAGTCTATGTATAACATGATTTCCCCAACAGAGTGAAATTGAGAAGCTAACCAATGATTACATGGGGCTATTCCACTTCCCTCCACTAATGAAGGTATTGTATGTCTTTTCTCTTTGTTATATAATGGTTGGCATTGTTTACTGTTGCAATATGTTAGCCTGGAAATCTCTGTTCCACAGGATGAGTGTGCAGAGGAGGAGGAGGAGAGAAGGAAGATTGTTAATCTGGAGCTGGTGTTTGGGTACCACTGGAAAGCAGTGGGTCACTCGGTAGGTTTTCAATGGACACTGAAAATATTCTATGACAAATAACCAAGATGTCTAGGAGGGAATCTGAATATATTTTCATCCAAATACAGTCATTTCTTCCCTGCATTTTCAAATGTATTTGTAAACTAATTTAGTCTCAGCATATAGTAATAGCTAACTAACTTGTTGTTGTCAGATAAGATTAAAACAGGTATGTCAAGATGGAAATGCTCCTTCAAGTTGCTGTTTCTCTAGATAAAGATGCACATTATGGTCCCCATCAAACTCAAGCAAACACTGACCACTGTTACACTGAGCATGCTTTGCCTTCAAGACATATCCTTGCAAGAGAAACAGATGAATAAATATTTCATCTAAAGCCATGCATCCCATCCACCCCCACTTGCTCACCATCCTTTGTTAGGGTCTCAAACGGTGGAGAAAGGCTGCTTCTCCACTTGCTGTTTGAATTTAATCAAAAATAGCCAATTTAGTCAGAAGTCATTTTCTTTTTAGAAAGGCAAATGTTATTTAATCTTTCAGCTGTTCATTGTCCCATCATAAATAGTCCCCTTTCAGTACGTTCGGCGGGGCTGAAACGAGCCTGCTAATTGCCTCCCATTTCTTCTGACATGTGGTGGTTTAGTGGGTAGAAAACACAGCAGGGAGAAGGAAACAGGAGGCTGAGAAAATGAGAGCTAATTATTTTCCCCTGCCTGGTGTCAGGTTCCATGTCAGCCTTGTTTTTACAAACTGGAAGGTTTTTTGCACTAAATAAAACAAACCCGCACTGCGTTTTTTTCCGCCCCTCTTTGCTGGTGGTGTCATGGAAGCAGCTGCACTTCTCAAAGACAAAATGAGGGCCTGCGATTGTGCGGCCACCATCTGACAACCACTGAGGGTCCCCCACTAATGAGGATATCACCGCACAGCCAAGAGAAAGGTGCTGAATTATGTATGAGTTGCCATTAGACCAGACACACTCCGGTCTTGGGCATCATTACCAGACATTGTTTCTGCTGGAGTGATTAGACCAACAAGTGGACCTGGAGGCCATGGTGCGACTGGCCAGGGCCGACCCGGGGCCGCTGCCTGGTGTGTCTTGGAGCCAGAGCCTTCCTCACGCTAGCTCCCCCTTTGAGCCCCGGCCAGCCCCTGGGGACAGTGTAGGAGTGGGCTGAGACTCCTCAGATGAGTGTGTTAGTGGCACTTCTTTGATGTCTTCTTCTGTGATCCCCACACAATAGATTGGCCCACACCGTGAACCGTGTGTGGTTAAGCAGTGACCTGTGGCTTCATGGCTGGTTTTTGGGGATGGCAAAATCATTACTGCTTTGTCAGCATGCAATATTCAGCAGGAGTATGGGGTTTGCTCAGATTTGTATTTCCTAGTGAGGATTTGATCCCTGTGTGCCTTGTGCAACAGTGATCGTAATACTGAGTTTATTTTCACCTAACTGGAATAACATTAGCATTACTCAAATGTGTATTTCACCAACAATAGCACCAGGTGTCAAGATACTGCGAACCATATCCCCTACAGGAAATAATACAAGTTATTCACCATAGCAACTTATGTTTACCCCTGAAGTAAAATGTCTCTGCAAAGATTGATAGGTTCTTAATATTCTCATTTACCACTTGTTATGTCATCCTTCATGCTATGATCATTCAAGAGACATGCTATCCTCTGTGATTCTGAGAGCACATCAAAGAGTGTGGGGAAAGCAATCAATCTCCAAACGAATTATACATTTGTCTCAATTGAAGGCAACTCACAGTGGATACTAGGTGAAATTAGGATTAAAATCTAAATGTACAACATAACTTGTGCTACTGTCAAGTTTGATCATGATTTCATATAAATTCACATTACATTCCGGAAATGTTCAATTCCAAGGAACTACCTCTAGGCTGTGCTGTTGGTTTAGGAAAAATGCAGTTAGGTTCTCAACTGACAGCAGTTATTTCATATTTTTTTAAGACCTATAATCTCTCTTTTTTAGGACTGCAAATGGAAAATGTACATGGAACTTGACGGAGATGAAGTTGCAATAACATACATCAAGGATGTGACCTTTAATGCCAACAGACAGGATGTGGATGTCCTGAAGATGACCAAGGTGTGATCATAAGCATTACTCCAGGCCATGCGTTGAAAGGGCATCAGGACTTAAAAACAGTCACTTGTCCATTACATTTCTTTGTTGAAGGTTTTTTAGGATCATTGAAAGAGTGTACCCTTTTGCTAATGTTATGACATAAAAAAATCCCTCTCTGTATCTTCAGATAAATATAATTATTCCTTGAATTAATGTCATTGCTGTATTGAAGATACCGTATTGAAGTAACTAACATGTATGACGATTAATAACCAACATCAAACTAATTCCTTGCAGCCCCCATTTGTGATGGACAAATGGGTAGTTGGACTATGGGAGAATCAGGTTGTTGACTGCATTGTTAATTATGAGGTGAGTCAGTCAAAACATTGCTATAGGATCAGGGCCAGATTACCACATCTGGGGCCCCAGGGCACCTACCTCCAGGGGGCCCACAAAAGGGGGAGATATTGGAGGGTTGGTGGCCTGGCGGTTGGGAGTTGCTTCTGTGGGTCGCTCTGGATGGGAGTCTGTTAGATGACTGAATGTAATGTAAATGTTGAGCGGCTTCACTGCAGGTAGATTGTATGTTTTAATATTCAATAAAAATATATATAGATAAAAATATATAACAAATTATAAAATACATAAACAATTTGCAGTTTTATAGCTTATCATGCTATTTTACACATTTTGCAATGAGGCTTAGAGAAAAGTTTGCAGTTTTAAAGCAAATTTCCTACAATTCTACACATTTTGCCATGGGGCAGAGAGATAAATGTGCAGTTTTATAGGTAATCTCATACTATTCTACACATTTTGCCATGAGGCTGAGAGAAAATGTTCCAGTTTTAAAACCAAATTTCTGCAATTCTACACATTTTGTCATGGTTTATGAGTGTTCATATGCTATCTGGGGGGGCCCGACCTCCAGGAGGCCCCAACTGATATGTTCATATGCTTTCTGGCGGGGGCCCGACCTCCAGGGGGCCCTCAACCGGTGTACATATTTATTATTATTATTATTACATATGCCTTCTGAGTGGTTGGGGGCCCCCTGGAGGTCGAGGCCCCAGGGCACGTGCCCTGCGTGCCAGGTCGGTAATCCGGCCCTGTATAGGAGCCCTTCAATATCCTAACCCTTGCACTACATACACTACACCACATTTAGGTTAATCATTACCAATAATAAGAATTATACAGTAGAATGAAGGTCCACAGTGTACTGTATGGTGTGCCTTTAAAAACAAGTAATACATTGTGAATTCAATTTGACATGTAGCTAGATATGATCAATGTTTAAAATACCCTACAGTGATTGTTGTGTCCTTATACTTGCCACTAGAATGATGTGAGATCACCCAGGTGTACGAGACATAGCCATGCAGTGAGGTGGAACCCCACCAGTGGACGAGATGAGATCAAGACTGTGGAGCTACTGATAGAAACAGCTCAGTTAAACATTGAAGGAAACCCCAGAAGCAGATCAAACTCAAAAGGTCAACTTTCTATGGTGTTTTGGATGCAGATTTCATTGACAAATGGTCAATTTAGAGCTGTCTTAAATACAGAATGCACAAATGTATGCACACATCTATGTAGCCAACAATACCAGTGGATGTTCTTTCTCCTTCCAGATGTGGATCCCAGATGGTTGTACAACCTGAGACAGAGGCAGCTGAAGAGCCAGTCAGCAGCAGAGCAGCATGGTTCCCGGACCCCCACCGGAGGCTCAGAAACCCGCACCCTGTCTCAGTTCCTGTCTGCATATGGAGATCAGGCCTCTTCCTACGCTGCAGCAGTGCGGAGGTCTCCCAACAGCCCCCTCTCTCCCTGGTGCTCCCGCAGCTCGTCCCCCACTGCCGGCCTGTCCGCCATGCTCTCCCCCCTCTACCTGGGGTCAAAGGGCAGCAGCCCCTCCAGCACCACCTCAGAGAGTGCCTTGGAGCGTGAACGCCTGCTCATTGCCGGGGAAGTGCAAGGTTACCACAGGCACAGAAGCTACATTGGCAACTCATTGAGTGCAACAAGGGACCACAACAGAGACACATGGTCCCATACAAGGGGCAACTTCACACAGAATAAGTCAAGCAGAACCTCAGAGCAAATGGGGAGGCCTCAGTCCAATAGTTACAATATAGCATCTCAGAACCGGGCCAGGGTGATACCGGGCATATCGGCGGTGGTAGAAAACCCCAGTACAGAGCAAGAGGGGGCTAAAGTCAGTGATGGGGGATGGATCAAAGTGGAGCGCCAGAAAAGGTTACCTCGACAAGACAATAAACAGGCCAGAGGAAGACAGAGGAGAGGGGGTAGAGGTGGCCGTGGTGGACGAAGCTGAGAATAATTTGCTGTTTGAAAGTGTTAACATGTCTTAATAGATTGGACATCAGGTTTACTTTGAATATTATCTTTCACACTACATATACATTTTCTCTCTGGAGGGATCTTTCTAGGGGTCATTTGAACTAGGGAGAATTGTGATTTAGGGAATGCACCCAATTCAGTCTTTTAGGGCTGAATTCTGAATTGTACTGTATGCACTCAAATAATTTTTGGATTTAGCATGTAAGCCTACATATCATTTGTAGTTGTATATTGTGAACTGTTCTACATAAGGCTATTGTAAATTGTATAGCCTACATTTTCCTAATCTTTTTATTTATGAGATATACTGTATAGCTAGATAATTGTGCCTTTTATTACAATATAAAAAAGTGAATGTACATATGGATTTTTAAAAAGAATATATATTTTTAATAGTCTATAACTATATGAATGGTAAAAAAAGATAAACGTACATGAAGTTGATGGAAAGGACGCGGGAGTTTTTCTATAAACCCGCCCCTTTATGTAAATATGTTCGCTATGATTTCGCGCCACGGCTTAGTACTTAGAAGGTTAGAAGTTGGTGGATCAGTATATGACATAATATTTTGAAAAATGTGTACAAAAATAAAAGTGTCCATCAGCAGTATTTTCTAAAGATTTTTTCACATTTTATGTGGCGTATATTTGTGTGTTCTATTTCCCTTTTATACCGTCTTTTGAAACAAAAGTTTATACAGCTTTAAGGACATTTTCCTTGCGCGGGAAATTTCTCAGCACCCATCTGCAAGTCTGGTCTGGTGGGGTTTCCCTGCATTCGTAAAACGACTGCAGAAACGTGTACTAGAGTTTTGACTGAGTTTCTTTGCAGAAAACTTTAAACCCAACAAAATGCGTCCATCTCGCTCTACGGTAAGGAATGTTATAATATATGTAACGTACTATATCAAACAATAACAGGGTGACATACCTAATGTTCTGATTTTATAGCTTCCGAGAATGTAAGTAGCTAACAAAAATTCTGCTCTGGTAAACCTAACGTTGGGCTCTTATTTTCTTGCTAACATTTTAGTAAACCTGTTGCCTTAGCTACTTTATGCAAAAGCTGCTGGAGACTGTGCCTACGGTCTCATTGGAGTTGCAATGCAACCATTACTTTTCTCTGTAGCTCAGCTGGTAGAGCACGGCGCTTGTAACGCCAAGGTAGTGGGTTCGATCCCCGGGACCACCCATACACAAAAATGTATGCACGCATGACTGTAAGTCGCTTTGGATAAAAGCGTCTGCTAAATGGCATATTATTATTATCTTATTAGTTACCATCTAAATTAGCTATCATTTGAATCTAGACAGTTTTGATGTTGAACGGCTGTTTTTAATTCATAACAATTTCAGTGGCTACTATCTAGTTATACCACATAGTTTTGGCTACACAGATTTAGATTTTATCCTGACAAAAGTTTTGCCATTTAAAATGTCGGTTTTATCCACCATCAAAGTAAGTAAATCTTACATGGCTAATCACACTCCTTTGTATAACCACCTAACGTTAGCTAACTAGCGTCAATGACCTTGTAAGATACATTTTGTGTTGGCCTTGATATGGCTTAACTAGCTTCCATTGTTGTATCTTGCAGTCACATCCCTATCACCATAGGTATTGCTGCTTCTCTCATTTTGCAGGAGGGCAGCAGTGTGACTAATAGTACTCACTTTGTTCATATGTCTATGGTCTGAGCTTCCAGTCTATTCATTCAGTTTTTCCTTACTCGTTCATCTTGTCTCTCCAGCGCCAGCAGGCCCCCCAGCCTCCCTCCACCAGGATGGGTTTGCGGAGTTTCCGTAATGTGCCCATGGAGACATCCTCTTCTTCATCAGATGACAGCTGTGACAGTTTTGGCTCTGACGGTGGCTTTGCTAACACAGTAAGGCAAATTGCCACATTTAGCTCCGATAACAATCAGTGTTTGACCATATTCACTCATCTAATGAGTTAGTTGTTGATGAAACTAACTGAAGGTTGTGCTTTCACTTTCCACAGAAAAGTAGCTTCAGAGAAGCTAGGAAGGTGGCGGAGAGAGCCAAGGTGTTTGAGGCCACCTCGGAAGAAGAGTCTCTCAGTGGGTTTGAGAATGCCTTCAGCAGTGAAATGAGTGCCATGGTGAGTGTTTTTTGTATTGATATTACCAATTTAATGTTATTGCACAATAGTGGCTACTATACACAAAAAACATTTCAGAATGTGTGCTCAGACAAATGTACTGTGTGTTTCAGAGAGTGGACTCTGACTCTGAGGAGTCAGTTGAGCCGCGGAAGAGGAGCCGCCGGTCCCAAACCCTTAAGGTGGCCATGAAATTCCCCACCAGGAGGGCCAGCCAGAAGAAGACTACTGCAGCAGAGCCCCCTAAACAGCCCAAAGTTTCTCCCAAACAGTCCGACACTGAGGATGGAGACAACTTCATGGACAAGAGAGCACTTAACATCAAGGAGAACAAAGCCATGGTACGACAGGATCATTCAGAGTCGTCGTTGTGGCTGTAGCTTGCTGAGTGACATTTTAGTCTAATTATGTAATTGCAATTTTATTTGTTTAGCTTGCAAAGCTGATGGCAGAACTCAACAAAATACCTGGCTTCCCTAGAAGAACGTCCCTGCCCATGATGAATGCGGTGAGTGAGACAAGATGGTGGATATGGCTGTTCTATAAAACATGTATTCAGGAAATATTTGAGTATTGATGAAATATGCTACCACCATTTACATTTTTGGACTGTAGTTAATGCGTTTTTGTTTCCTCTGTAGCCTCGTCGCGCCCCACGCCGGTCTCTGGGAGCCCCTGGACCCCGCAGGAGGAACCCTGAGCGTACCTCTAGGCCCCACACTCGCTCCCGCTCCCTGGTGGACGGCCCCCCCAGCCCCCCATCAGAGGAGGAAGAGGAGGACAAGTTCAGCCTGGTGCGCAGGAGCCGCTACTACGAGGAGGTGGATGAAGCGGTCAGTGGCACACACCTTTGTTGACCTCAGTGTTTGGTTGGTAACGTCGAGTGTCAAGTAAAGTTGGATTTTTTTTTTGCGTTTCCTGATCTGTCCGTTCAATAATAGTGAATACCGAATTTCAGGACTTGTCCGTTTGGTTGACATGTGTGTGTTTACAGAAGGAGCCCCGTCGGCGCAGCTACAACGGGGTGCTGGCCATTCCTCATGTGGTGCGGCCTGTGGAGGACATCTCCCAGATGGAGCTGGATCTGATCGCAGGCAACGTGCGGGAGAAGGTCTACAACAGATCCACTGTAAGTTCCCATTCTCCTACAGTGGTACTCAAAACGCCTGTCTTTAAAGTTTGATTTCTGTTAGTCACCCCTCTAATTTGCTTGCTGTAGGGATCCACTTGCCATCAGTGCCGCCAGAAAACGATCGACACCAAGACCAACTGCCGTAACCCAGAGTGTGTGGGAGTAAGGGGTCAATTCTGTGGCCCATGTCTCCGTAACCGCTACGGAGAGGAGGTCCGAGATGCCTTGCTGGATCCTGTAAGTACTGCACTCGTCTTCTCCGAGCCATCAAGAGACAGTGACACGTGTCCATTTGATTATTGACTGTTTTGTCAAGAGAATACAGTTGACATCGTCTTGGTCTTGTGCAGGAGTGGGAGTGTCCGTCATGCAGAGGGATCTGCAACTGCAGCTTCTGTAGAGCCAGAGAGGGTCGCTGTGCCACTGGAGTCCTGGTCTACCTGGCTAAATACCATGGCTACGACAACGTCCATTCTTATCTCAAGAGGTAAGGTTCATTCTACTTCTGAACTTAAACCTTTGTCTTGTAATCGTATTTGTACTTCGACTGCTACTGTGTTGGGAATTAAAAATGTGTCTCTCTCTGCAGTCTGAAGAAGGAAATGGAAGAGAGCCAGTAAATCATGGAGAATGTAACCTGATTCTGGATCTGACTGACAATGTTCTCATGTGATATGGCTTTTATATTCCATAATGCAAAACTGTTGATTCTTCCATTACTGATTCTGTAAATTTTTACATTGTTTTAAATGTATACGGTTTTACTGTCAATTACTCCATGCAACTGGGTATGTTTATACTGTGATGTTTGCCTGTGACGTTCTCGTTTTAACCTGCAAGTTTGGATAAAAACAATATGTATAAATTGGTTGTCCTCTACTATGTTAATTGTACTCGAGTCGTCCATTTTTTGTATAAGAAAATTAGCTTTCGACTTCAATAAGGTTTATTCTCTCTTCCCAATGTCACATGGTTACTTTTGACTCTGCTCAGTAGTCCACCATTGTACCATCATACCCCTGAGGTGGTGAGGGTGGAAAGGGCACAGCTAGTGGGGGCTATTTCCCCCTCCTGAGCAGAGAGAAGCTATGATATAGTACAGTGCCTGGTTAAATCCTTCATTAGATAACTGTTACTAATGGTGTGGAAACAATTAGCAGTCTGTAATGGGAATCTCATACCTGTAAATCATTTATCCTATTAAAGCACTTCCTTGCTCTGGTCTTTTTCTCTCCTTTCATTTTCCAACAATGTTTTACAGTGCAAATAGTAATGTTCTCAGGTGTCACTCAAGTGGCAATGAAGTTAATGCCGATATTTTCTGTTCAGTAGTGTGTGGTACTACATAGGAAATGTCGTGAGGTGAATCTTGGGTGGTTCATTGCTATTAAGCCTTTGAAAATGTACTTCATTTGACCTGCACCATTTCCAGTGAGCATGCTCTCTCATTAACACTGACACTTACCTTTTGAAATTACAGTCCACACTTGAGCGTTTTTGCTGGTTTGGTAGGAGACTTGGTCTCTTATTACGAGAGTAACTACTCTAATTCAGAGTGCACTGCTTTGTTCTCTTTGGAAAAGTTGCCAGCTTGCCCTGTTGGGTTTACAGAAAGAGACATGTTTGGCCTCAACAGTTTGTAGTAGTCCATTGCATTCTGTCATTGCTAGTTATATGCAGTAGAAAATGGCTTTGGAATGCAGTGAGGCCATAGAAAACATTTGGAGACCTTTTCAAACAAGCTGATCAAGCCTCCAATTTTGTCTGAATGTCATATTATAATAAAAGTAGCCATTTTTTATCTGAATATGAGCAAAGAAAGAACCGAGTGCTCTAATTCTTTTAACAGCTGTTCTCCACAAAGCCATTCATTATACAGTGACGCTGTTCTTAGGTCCTCATCCCCATTCCTTACAACATTTCCATCACACTCAAAAAATCTGAATTTTTCTTACCCAGAAACAAATATTATTAGCATAATAAAGATGCACTTGAAAATACTGGTATTAAATACCAATGATCATCCACTTTGGGGGTGATGAATATTTAGGGAAATAATTGTTTACGACGCTCAAGCATTGAGTTGATCTGGTAATCAGGCTATGAAATACAATATTTATTCATTAGAGCGGATTTAATGAGGCCTTGCGGCGCTAATTATGAAAAGCAGTGTAGCAGTAAATGAGTAGCGCACGGTGGCGGGCTGTTGGGTACCTGTAAGAAGGGAATGGGGGATGAAGTGCCATGCAACACAGAGCCACAGCCCTTCCCTGGGCCTGTCTGTCCAGCCCCCAGCACTACATCACTGGACCTGGAGACAGCACACAGACTATGCCTTGTTCTGCTTGGGCTGGAGGAATTAGAGCAGTAATGACAACCTTGTGATATTGTGTGCTGGTTGAACGGTGAGCAGTGGTGCTGGAAGTAACTGCATAGTTATAATCATGCAGCTTTTCAGATTACATAGAATGATTTCACATGCTGGTGTTTTTTCAGTTGTTCGATTGATTAATATTTTCATTATGGCTGCAGGGTTGTGAAATTGCTGTTCATTTCCTAGTGTCCTGCGGGTTTCTAGTGATTGTTGTGGAGCCAGAGGAAGAACAGCTGAATAAATGGAACACATGAGGCATGATCACAATGAGATCTGTAGGTCAAAATCAACAGATTAATTACAATGTAGAATACATCTGTCAGGCCTCCGCAATAAACATCCTTTTCAGCTCGGTGCCTAATAACTAGATTGACATGTCATTCCATGTTAGGAGCTACAGTAAAGCCTGGATCACACAAGCACAAAAATCAAGCCAGAAGAGTACATTCAGGGGCACTAAGATATCCTCAGTCCTCTTTCTTTTCTGTGATTTCTTTTGCAGGCAGACAGACATTTCTAGACAAGAATATTCCTTTCCCCTGACAACTGTGTCCTGTAAAGTGGAGAGAGAGAGAGAGAGAGAGAGAGAGAGAGAGAGAGTGCTGCTGTTGAGGCACAGCAGCGAATGACTCCGGGTGTCTGGAGGCTTATGACATGTTTCTTACCTCTGGTTCCAGACTGTGCGTTGATGGAAACAACCGTTTGGTCCAGGTGTCAGGGACATTATCAAAGAAAAAGGCTGACTGCAGTTGCTCCATCTCTGAGGAAATTGCCAACACACCCTAACAAAGGAAGGCATAAGTGCATTCGCTGCCGCTTTCAAAGGGAGCGTGATAAGATGACATTATAAATATACAATTTTTAACAGAGGGGGAAAAACACATCAGGCAGCTAAACTTAACAGTTCTGTTATTTCTGCATGCTTCCTTAAGGCTAACTTGTTGTTTACCCAGGGAGCATTTCAAGCAAATGTTCAATATCATGAATAGTATCATTTGGATATTTCAGATATAAGTGATACATCTAAAAGGGAATTTCTGAAGAGTTACAAGGTTGTTCATCTCACACAGCTAGGCTATATTAGTCAGTGCACTACCTCTACCACACTCACCTTTGACCCTCTCCTTCTCACCACAGCAACCCTAACGGCTCTATTTGTGATCACACATGCAACACAAATGATCCTTGGTGGTCATTGCTCCATGCTCCACATTCTTAACCATACATGCCTGCTTTTTTTGCAGTTTAGACAGACATAGCATGGCTTCTCACACAATCACCAGGTTTTGACTGTTTGATTTCTATCGATTCACCTCATCTGTTGGAAGTTAACCAATACATTGTTTCCTTTACTTCCTAAAGGGGGAGCTCTAATACAGGCAACGCTGTAGACAGCCTTACATCTTCAGACAGCTTCAACATTCAGTGACTCTTCCACAGACTTGGTGGAGAAACAAGTATCTTATCATTGAGGTTGTGGTAACGATTTACCTGCAAGTACAGACAAATTACAGATTCACTTGTCTTTAGTCAATGAGAGCAACACCTTCACGGAGGTGTCACCAATCCATGTTTTGTCGACCATGTACATAGCAAAGTGTATTCCATTCTGATTAATTTAGACAACCATTTAATTGCTGTAGCTTATACCCTCAATACACTGAGTTAGGAGGGACTTACAGAGGAATAGAGCTGAGGAGGAGGATGACGAGTCTGGGGTGATTGTCCCTCACTGTCTGTCACCCTGGTGAGGGCTTCATATAGAAAAACAGGGGCTATAGCCTGGGCCTGAAAGGGTGATGACATTGTCAGTGTGCACAGCCTTGGTGAGGGCTTCATACAGACAGACAGGCCAATAACGTGGGCCTGAGGGCGTAATGACATTGTCAGTGTGCACAGCCCTGGTGAGGGCTTCATACAGACAGACAGACAGACAGGGCTATAGCCTGGGCCTGAGAGGGTGATGACATTGTCAGTGTGCACAGCCCTGGTGAGGGCTTCATACAGACAGACAGGGCTATAGCCTGGGCCTGAGAGGGTGATGACATTGTCAGTGTGCACAGCCCTGGTGAGGGCTTCATACAGACAGACAGACAGACAGGGCTATAGCCTGGGCCTGAGAGGGTGATGACATTGTCAGTGCGCACAGCCCTGGTGAGGGCTTCATACAGACAGACAGACAGACAGACAGACAGGGCTATAGCCTGGGCCTGAGAGGGTGATGACATTGTCAGTGTTCCCATTAAATTTTTGAGGAGCAATAGGGAGATTATGGGAGTCCAGCCTGCCACTATGGCCTGGCAGAGGGAGGGGCTAATTATGATGCGGGGGAGTGCAGGGCCGTAATGTGTAAATCTAATCTTACCTTAAGTGAGAACTGGTACATTGGATAGATTTTTATTGAGATCATATAATATGAAGAGGAGCTTACAGCCATGAGTTGGTGCTACTCATGTGCTTCATTAATTTTTACTTCATTAACTCTCTCCTCTAGAGCCTACAACACAATTCATTGCTGGTCATGAATCCAGAGCACAGGCAAATGCACTGCAGGATTAGATACAGACAACAATGCAATGGATACACTGACTAACGGTGCATTTCCACATAACATGATGGGGGTGATGAAACAACGGAGCCCCATTCATTTTCAATGGAGGGGAAGTGTGCGGGGGACCTTTGGGCGATGCGAGCGTGAACAGGGCGGGACCAAAGTTGGGGAAAGCTCAACGTTATGCAAATACTCTGCGATATCGCAACGCTATTGACCAATCAAAGCTCACTATAGCTTCCAGACCGTACTGGATTGGCTGCTGATATCTAGCCTGCTTGCTAGCTTGCGAGCACCCACATGAGGGCGAAGCTAGAGTGGCTATCTGAATTATCGTGTTATGTGGAAATCCCCTCTAAGGCTGGATTCAATCCGTATCACGGAAGTATCGTGGAAGATCTGCGTTAAAATGTAAAGGTAATTCCCAATTGAGTTGACATATGCAGCGTTTACCCTGAATGCAGTCTCCGCAAACACGGGAACATTTCCTTTAAATTTAAATCAAGCTTTAATGCGGATCTTCCACGATACGGATTAAATCCAGCCCACAGTCTAAACAAATCACAAACACATGCAAAATACAGAACCTCAAAGGCATTTTGTATTTATGACTTACTGCACTACATTTGATCAATGTCTTCGCATTTGGAAAACAGGTCTGAAAAACAAAGCATTCTTTACTCTAGCTAGTCAAAGGAACCATTTAAATTAAACTGCAGAAATTATATAATGATGTCTCAAATAAATCCTGTTGAAAACGTATGCACTCACTACTGTAAGTTGCTCTAGATAAAAGTGTCTGCTAAATGACTAAAATGTAAATGTAGAACGGAAATTAGCCTATATGTTATTTGGAGGTTTTTGAATAACTTTATTAGAACTTTCACTGAACGTTTCAATAAGACTTTTAATAACACTGCTAGCTTATTATGGGTTATTCATGCAAACACATTTATTTTTTATTGTGACACGGCATTAGTGAGATTCAAATCTATAATCTTCTGTTCTCTAGCCATTGAATTAGTCCTCTTCGCCACCAGGATGGTGTGCATGTTTCTGTTACGCATACAAAGCTATTCATTTTAGTCTATTTAAACAGACCCCATTTCAAAGGAAACAAGCACTCATTAAGATCACACCTGAACACACTTAACAAGATAGAGGATAGAGCGCATTTCGTTATTGCTGAGAACAGAATGTATATGTTTTTAAATAACATTCTTATAATGTTCTCTGAACATTACTAAAGTTTTATTGTGGTTTTTAAAGAAGGTTTCCTTAATGTTATCGGAAC